GAAACGTAAAAATATAATAATAATAATTTTTTATATAAATAAATAAAATCGTTTACGTGTAATATTTAATAATTTATGGTTGAACTAACATAATATTTTTTAATAATAACAAAAGTCATTATAATAAATGTTAAGAATAAAAATCATTTTTTTCTCACCCCTTTTAAAAAATTTTTTAAACTAATCTTTCATATTGTAGGGGTTGTTTATTTCAAACGAAGGTTAATAATATAAGATTTATATTATAAATCTTTAACATGTATGTTAATCCCGACTATTCCCTATATTCCCTTTCTTTTTTGTAAAATGATAATAAACAATAGCAATACTTCAATAAAGAGAATTTTTTTTTTACCATTTATTATTATTATTATTACTATTTAGTTTAAAATGTTTGTAAAAGTTTTATAAACTTATTAAAGCCTGCTCAATACATTTATAAAAATTTCACACGAATATTAAAAATGAAAAAAAACCTGAAACCTGATTTTTTTTTTATTTGTTTTTAAATGATATTATTAAAATAAAATTATTTAAAAATTTTTCTGTCAGAAATAAAAGTTAAAAATTAAAAATTTTCCCTTAATATTTTGAAATAAAGAAAAATTTTAGTTTCACAACTTTAGGAAGATAAAAATTAAATTAAAAAAGGGGGAGGAAAGGGGGACGGGGGAATGTCGCAATTCATCTTAATTTAATTACAAATGAATTTCTTAATGAACGATTGTTTTATTGTAATAACTTTTCAGACGCAGAAATAAAAAAGTTTTTTTCTTTTTTTTTTAATTGTAAAAGGAATGAAACAATGACTTTTTCATAGTTTTTTTTTTTTTTTTACTATTGGTACACACTAATTCTGATTAAAAGTTTAAGTTCAGAACGATATTTGTTATCACAAAAAAAATATTCAGAGGTTGATAACTAACTTTTAATTTAAACTTCTCCAGAACTTTTAGAAAATGGAAAAAAATGTAATGTCGCCTGTTCTAAATTAATCATTTTTTTTGTTTTGAAATTATTTACTTATCAATTAATAGAAAAATTTATCAAATATACCAAATCATAGCAATAAACTCAACAAATACTAAAATTTTACTAAAAATTATATAAACTTTACACGAATGATAATCTTTAAAAATTTTTATTTTTAGTATTATATAATTTTTAAAGTTTCACTTAAATTATTACTATTATTATTATTATTATTATTTAGTTAAAAAACATTTTAATTAAAACTTACTTATCATCGATAGCGTGAAATTATTTTTGTTATGATAAAAATTTATTATGTGAAAGGACAATAATAATAATACCTCTCATATAAACTTTTCCATACTTTTTTTGTCCTTGGGGGGGAAAAAAAAAATTACAGGAGTCGAAAAGGTTAAATTTAAAAAAAAAAAAAATTTTTTTTTTTAAATAAAACAACCCCAAAAATTTGACATTTTAAGCGAAAAAATTTTTTTATATGTAATCACTGATTAATTAATTTATCAAAAAAATTATTTCTCTCTCTCTCTCCCCACTCTTTCTCTGCGTAACTCATCAAGTTAAAATGCGTGAAATCAATTTCAGTACTATTAGAAAAAATAAATAAAAATTTTTTTTTTCACACCCATGATAACAAATTACAAACATTAATTATGATTTTTAAAGTTATTGAACTTTATCATTATTATTATTATTATTATTATCATTATTATTTAAACTTATTTAATTTAATATGTTCTATCGATTTCGAAAAACACAATTTAAAACTAATCGTGTGTAAACAAAAAAACAATTTTTTTTTCTTCTTTCAAACTCCAGCAAACTTGGTAATAAATATTAAACTTGGTAAAAATTAATAATAATAATAATAATAATAATAATAACAACAATGGTAAGTTGTTAGAAAATCAAATATTAAAAAAAAAACCCCATCGTACGTATAAAGTGTGACTTATTATTTAAATAAATCATTTTTAAAGGTCGTCGTCGTCGTCGTCGTCGTCGTCAATTTCTCTTTTTATTTTCTTCTTTCTAAAGGTATCCTTTTAATTTCAGGTACGCTCGAATCTTCAATAGGAAAAGTAAAAGTAAAAAAAAAAAAAAAAAAAAAAAAAACTCGTTCTTCTTCTTCCTTCTTCTTTCTTCTTCATTTTTTTTCCTTTTGTTTTCTTTTTTCCTTCTTTGTTCATTTTTTTCTTTTACTATTATTATTATTATTATTATTATTATTATTATTATTATTAGTATTTCTGATTTATTTATAACTTCACACTTTGAATATATGTACATATATAAAAAAGTGTTTAGTACAATTTTTACAAACAAACATAATAAATAAATAATAATAGTAATGGAAATTCCAGTGGTTTCGAATAGTGATAATACAAATAATAATAATAATAATTTAAATGTGTCACACAGGTATAATCTTCAGGTGTGTTTCTTTTTACACATGCATAAAAAAATAATAATAATAAGCAAGTTCGTGAAACTTTTTGCTTTTCTAAGCATAAAATTTATTTTTTTTTTTTTTTTGTATTTTATTCAGAAATCAAATATGATGAGAATCTATACTCATATAATAATAATTATTATTATCATCATTATTAATTTAGGTTAAAACGTAATAGTAATAATAATAATTGTTTTTTTTTTTAAATTAATGTAATTAATTTTGGTTTTAGTTTGAAAGTTTGATTGTAATGAAAATTTTTTTTTTGTAATTCAAAAAAAAAAAAAAATATTTGGAATTGTTTTTTTTTTTTTTCAAATAATAATAATAATAATAATTGATATTTTGGCGGTAGGCCTAAATCATATGGTCCAGTGCCAAATAATATAAACGAATTGAATTTTAAACAAAATATACATCAATACAGACAAACGGATTTTGTTTTAGATTTTGCGATTCAACGAATTTTTCGTTTCTTTTTTTTTTCTCTCCACAGAATTTTTTACTCATTTTCTTAATTAAAAGGGAGGGGAAAACCTAATTAATTAATTAAGGGTAAGTTTTTACTCGCGAATAAAAAACAAATTATTATAAATTTTTTTAATCAGTGAAATATTTAATTGTAATGTACGATGATAAATATGTCCTCCTCTCAATCGTTTGACGTGTAATTAGAGAAAAAATAAATAAAAAATTGAAAAAAAAAATACCGTATACGTTGAGCCATCCTTCAACTCGACACGGATATGTAAAAGACTTTTCTTTCAAGCCAACCATTTCCGCGATGATATCCCTGGAAAAACAGGTGTTATCCTCACGGTTAAATCGATTATTTTTTCAATTTCATCGATATACTATCACAATAAATCAAAAGGAAAAGAAAAGAGAAAAGAACACAACAAATCACAGGTAATTAAAATAAATCACTTATAATTACACAAAAATAACATCGCGTGTTCGTTAATTACATTTAAATATATATTTATATAAGAATTAATAAAACGAAATTAAATAAATTCGAAACCCCGTACACGAACCTAACCGACAAAAATAATTTTTTTTTTTTTTTTTACATATGAAATGATGACAACGACGACATAAACTCGACTGGCTATGCGCTGCTACGACTTTGTCGATGGCGGGTTTTTTTCTTTCTCTATTACATCACGTGACACGGTAAATTTAACCGTCGCATATTCTTTAACCACTTTGTGTTGTCGCAACCTGTCTTATTATTTTAACGGTTTTTTTTATTTTAAATTTATTAATTTTTTTTTTTTGGTAAATTACTCATGATAAAAATATGTCGCGAGTTTTTTTTTTTTTTTTTTAAATAAGAAAAATAATTATTTATCAACGATAATATCATTAAAAAAATAACAGAAAATTTAATAAGGTAACGAACTTATGATTAATTGTAAATGTATATACGTTTCAAAAAATTTAAATTTTTTAAATCCCCCCTCCCTCCCACCCACCCCCCCCCCCGAAAAAAAAAATAAAAGAAAAAAAAGTTTTAAATAAAATTTATATATATTATTATACAATTGAATTTATTTATTTATTTTTGTACTGTTAACATTTATTAATATCATCCATTTTTTTTTTTTTTTCAATATCTGTTAGTTATTAATAATTATTATTATGTAATCTGCATTCGGTAACAGCCTTTTTATTTATTTTCACTTAAATTATTTATTATAAAATTTTAATAATAATAATAATAAGTTAATTATTAATATCTATTAAATTATGCCAGTTTATGTATTTTTTTTTTTATACAATTACGAATATACAAGCAAAAATAAAAGCAAATTAAAATTATTATTAATAAAAAAATAAGACAAATCCTTATTTATTATTATTATTATTATTGTGAAAAATAACAAACATTAACCTATTGAAATTTTAATTGGGGCAAGTATTCTATTTATCTATATATGTATACATAAATATAATTATTAACTAAAATTGTGTAAATAAATTTTTAAAATTTGACATTAAAAATAATAATAATAATAATTTGTTTTTAACACAGAAAGAGAAAATTTTTTTTTTTTTTTTAAATAAGCGTTTTTGCAAATCAATTAAATTAAATATTTATTTTATTTTATTTAAATTCTATTTTTAATAGGAAACGTAACCATTTAGAGAGTAATTATATATATATATATATGGCTTACGCGATTTCATTTACATTATAAAATAATAATAATAATAATAATTTTAACTTGATGCGAACAATTCACAAACAAACAAACAAAAAAAAAAAGGAATTAAGAGTTTGTCGGGTCAATTTTTTACATTTTACGGATTATCTTTGATTGATTAATTTTTTTTTTTTTTTTAAATTCTCACATTGATTTCAATGACGTCTCCAATGAAATACTTCTCTCCCCCGCCCCCGCCCCCGCCTCCCCTTGACTATGACGTAAATATATATATCACTATTTATAAATAAAATAAAAGAATTAATAATAATAATAATAATAGTAATCGTGAATATCACAGGATTTTTTTTTTTTTTTCTTTTTTCTCCGGAAAAAAATTATCAATTTCAACTGGAAAAATGACTGAAATCCGTTTTGAGTTTTATCGTTGGCGATTGATGAGATGCTGTCGATGATTTCGATATGACGGTCGTCGTTTCCGCTTTTCCCTTATTTTGATTTTGCTGATTGTTTTGACTTTTTATCGCAGATTCTAATTTTTTCCTCAAATCCGACGATTGTGACACCAACGCTTTGAATTCCTGAGAAAGAAAATAATTTTTATTTTCCACCCTGCGCATCGTGCTACTTGTACTTTATGTTCGACTACCTCTGGATATTGTGGTCCTATAACCATCAACGACTGAAGGCAGTGTTCATTTAACGCCCTACTATATTTGTTGGCTTCTTTTAATGCAAAACCTTCCAACAAACCGTTGACCAAAACGGGAACCAAGAGTTTAAGCATTTGTATTCCTAAAAAATATTATTATTATTTTTTTTTTTTTTATTATAAATAATTTTATTTTGTTTTACATTAAATTATTTATTTATTTATTTTTAAAGTTTATATTACCTAAATTTAAATCTCCTTTTTTAGCAACAACAACAACAACAAAAAAAGGACGTAAGTAAATAAATAAAATGTACACGTTCGCAAAAAACAGACGAAATGAAAACAACATTTTCCGGGCGGCAAATATTTATTTCGTATTCAAAAAACATGGAAAAAAAAAAAATCTACGTACTGTGTTTAGGTTCGGCTATTGTTATGAGACTATCTACTGTTCGAATACTTTCTAAAGTAAGAGTCAAATCGGCTTCGGAATCAAAATGTCGACTTTCTTCCGTGTACAAATATTCAATCACTCTGGGAGCCAAAGCATGAATGTAGGGGGTTGATACCGTTCGATCAGAATGTGCGAATATTCTCCTCATCGTTTCGATGCATTTTATCCTGACCTGAAATTATTTTTTTAAATTTTAAGTAAAATAAATAATAATGAAGAGCGAAACAAAGGTAAGTGAAATAATGTTTTACGTACCTGTATATTACTGTTTTGCAAACATTGCCTGTAATGATTTATGCAAGGATATTGTAAATTTGGAACCGTCACGACTCCTGCAGGCGCGTGAAGGACCAACACGGCAATCCCTAAAATTATCGTGCATTCATCTAATTTGCTTTTTTCACTTCCCGTTTTCGCTAAATCTATCAACTTTGCAAGTGTGCTTTGTAAAAGTCTCTGCCATAAGTCTTTTGATCTCTCATCTCTGCAATATTTATGACTCGTCAGTGTTTTCAAACAATGCAATCCCGCGGATACCGGCGTGGTAGAAGCTAAAATTGTCGTATCGTTCGAAGCTTTCGACGCAGTTTCTTTTATGACTCCGGTCGTCAAGTATAAAATGGTCGGTAGAATGGCTAGAGCTCCTTGAGGAGAACACAAATTTACTAATTCTTCCATGCTGCCGAGAGCGGAAGCAACTAATTTACTAGAATTATTATTGAGAGGTTGACATCTTAAAGGAGACGACACTAGCGGAGTAGGATTCAGGGGGGGTAACTGTCGAACTAATAAACATAAGCACACTTCTAATACGGCAAACACTAAAGATTTTCCCGGTACGATTTCTCCATTTTCTCCTCCTTCTCCTAATAAATCCAAATTCAAACTATCCGTCCCTTCTTCGTTTTCTAAAAAAAAAAAAAAAAAAAAAAAAAAAAAAAATTATAGAAATAAAATTTTCAGTAATTACCAATACAACGTAATTAATAAGCGTTAAAAGCGTTTACCTTTAGATTTTTCGCTTTTTTCACTATCGTATTTTTCTTGTGCAGCTTTTATCACATATTTTAAAACTTCCATAGCCATTTGTTGAACGTTTACATCATCTTGAGTTAAAAGTAATCTGAAAAAAAAAAAAAAAAAAAAGTTATTTGTGATAAAAATTTTCGAAATGAAAATAAAAATATATGAAAAAAACAAACCTATGTAAAACATTGCATAATTCAATGGCGAGTGATTTCTCTCTCATTAACATTCCTCTCGGTTCACTCGTGTCAAATAATGTACGTAAAGCTCTTAGGCAAATTAAAACTGTTTCGGTGGGCTCACAAGATCTCGGACTACAAAGAGCCTCCATGCAAATTCCTACAAAATTGAACAAATAATATTGTTTTAAATTAAAAATAGATGAATGTTTTAAGATGAAGCACATATTTGAACAATACGTTTTACAATAAATAATTATAATCGCAGAAAGTTTTTAAACTTTACCAAACAATAAGTGAAATCTATCTTCGGCGGAATCCTTGATCGAAGTATCATTCTTTTTTGTTTCTATAGTTCGAGGAACGTCAAATCCATCAGCGTTTAACCAAAATGAAGTGGCTAAAAGAATCGGAGGCCACGAAGCTGCATAATACGGTCGAGAAAGTTCAATGGTATCTGTTGTATAAAAAGCTCCGCCGTCATGTGGAAGTTGACTTGAAAATTCTACAATTTTGAAATTAGAAAAAATTTTTTTTTTTTTTTGTATAAAACAAAACAAAAGGTATTAAAAGTAAAAAAAAAGAAACATTACCAGGAGGCAAAGATAAAAGTGCATAATCTCTCAACGCGGCGAGCCAATAATGTGCTAAGCTGACTAATTCTGGTTGAACTAAAGTTAACAGATTTCCAGGTTTGGACTTGTTTTCGGACCATTCATTTTCGACTGAGGAATTCATGTTTAAAATAGAAGCTGTTTTGGAAGCGCTTACACTATCAGGTGCAGATCCGTTCGCAATCATGGCAACAATGTAAACCTGTCAATTATTACAAAAATAGTTTTAAAACTAAAAACTTTACCATTAACATTTTAACAACAGAAAGCTTTTTACCTCTGCCCACGCCTTTAAAATGGCTAATCTTTCTAGTGTTTCTAAACTTTCATTATATAATTGTACGGAGTTTGATTTTCTCTCCAACTTGGATAAAGAAGAAACTAATAGTTGATGCACTCTTCTTAGATCGTTTAAATCTTTTGCCACACCTGAGCCGATCCAAGCACTGCAGACTTGACAAGCTGCAGCACTAACTAGGGAAGATGTTTCTGGTGAAAAAGCAGGTCGTAGAGCTGCACTCACCTGTTATAAATTTCATCGTAATCAATTTTTTATGTAAAATTATTATTATTATTATTTTTTTTAATAAAAAAAAAAAAAAAAAAAAAAACGTACCTGAGCTTGAAATTGTTCTAGTAATAGTTGTCCCGGAAATTCTGGTTCTGGCACAGAACTAAATTTGTCAATTATTTCCTGTAAAGTTTTCAAACCTTCTAAACGCAACGGATCTGAATCGCTGGTTGCCGCCATAAAAACCATTCTCACAAGATCGGACAAATGTAAGACCAAAAAGTCAACTAAAAAAAAAACCGTTTGACATAAAACGTTTAGAATTTTTAAAAAAAATTTTTGAAACACTATAAAAATTTTAAATTCTAGATACCTCTAGGTTTTGTCATTTGTAATTCCTTAGCCAAAATCAAATCGAAATGAGCAGGTTCACTACCCTGACAGGCTGCAATTAATTTCCTTACGCATTCTGCCGCGAAAACCCGGGTAGGCCATCTTGGTTGAATCGCGGAATGATTGGATGATTCATTTCCGGCATGAAATTCAGCTTGATCATCATCTCCTTCATTTTCATAATTTTCCGATGTTGTGGCATTGTTAGACTCTTCATAAATGCTGGTTTCTAAAAACATGAAACTAACTTAGTACAATTTTACATCCAAAATCCAGTGAGATTCAAAGAATTAAATAAATTACCCGTTGCAACAGTAAGAACATCTTTACAAAGAGACAGCCAAAGATTCAAGTTTTCAGCAGCAAGGACTTGAAGCATACTAGCTAAAGTGTCATGAATATCCTTAATTAATTTAGAATCTGTTTCTGTATCTAACATTGAAAAAAGAACACCGGGTAAACCGAATTCCGTCATATTAAAAACTTCGCCTTCTAACGTATCCTTTTCAGATGTGCGTAGAGTCATGGCGTGTTCACAAACTTCCTTTGCTTCTCTCTGAGACAACTGTCTTAAACATGACACCGCCGCTTTTCTCAAAAGCAAATGATGGCTTGACAAATTTTTCTAAATATTATTTCAATGTAAAAATTAATTAAACGTTTGATACAGCAAGAGAAATAAACAGACCAATTACTAATAACGTACGCATAAATTAGGAACCAGAGTAGATAGATTAACATGTCTGGGAGCAAACAAGTGAAGTTGTTGTAAGCAACCGGTTGCTTCGGCTTGAACTAAAGGATCTTGATGGTCTTGCATGATCGCACATGCACATAAAAATGAAGATCTTGCCATACAAATAGAACTTGGATTACCTAAAATAATAAGTAATTACATTAAATCCCTTTGTCTTCTCTGATTATATTTCAAAAAACTTATGTTTTTAAGGTTAACTTCATTACCCTGTAATTCAGGTCCGACAGTTGTTATCAAAGCCGACAAAACTTTACCAATACACTGATGTACATCAACATAACTTTCAGGTACGTTTAATAAAAGCTTTAAAATTAAAGATAACGAAGGTTCAACGTAACCTCTGAACATTGGACCTCCAGAATCGGCTATCAAAGATAACGCGTGCAACGACCATACCTAAAATTTTTTGTCGACACAAGTTCTTAATGAAAAACAATAATATTTTAAACATAATTTTAATATATAAACCTGAATTTACCTGAACCACGGGAGAAGTAGAATCTTGAGCTAAGGCTAGCAAAATGCTAACACTAGTATTTAAATGATGACTAGAACCCATTCCTCCCACGTAACGATGTAAACAACCTAGAGCTAAAGAATGGCCAGTTCTACTTGCAACGTCGCGAGCAGATTTAAGACGATCGAAACTGGTTTGTGCTTGATTAGCCGTAAATCTTGCATCGCTTACAACTTGAGCCATTTTGCCCAGGCATTCACCAGCAGCACATCGAAGAATAGAATTAGAACTGGTGAGTGATGACTAAAAAAAAAAATCGATTTGAAAAATTAAACACGAAATAAAATTCATATGCGATCAAAAATTTTGTAAAAAAAAAAACTCACTGTTATAATTGAAATAGCAGCAAGCTGAACATCTTCTTGGCTAAAATTGGCTTTAGATTCTGTAAGACCACGGAGTCCACCGAGTAAAGCTGAAAATAAATTCATTTGAACAGCTTCTTGCCTTGCTGCTTTCGCGTGTTTGATGCATTCGGAAAAGTGTTCCAAAACCTGAAGACGATGTTTATTAGCCACTCTAGAAAATATCTGTCCGAATAAACACACGGACATATCAATAACGGCAACTCCTAAGGGTAAAGGACCCGGTATAACTTCTTCCTAATAAATATAAAACAATTTAATTAGAATTTAAAAATTTAGTAAAAATACAATTAATTAATTTCTAAAAATATCGACTCACAGGTTTGAGAGGCCGAAATAGACAACATGGATCGTGTTCTAAAGCGCCAGATCCGGCGGCACTGTTTGGAAGCAGCTTTAAAAAATAAAATAAAAATTTTTGAATTGAATAATAAAAATACAAAACTTTACAATTACACAAACACAAGAAAAAAACTAGTATAAAATAAACCTGAAATGAACTCTTTAGCTTTGCTAACAACCACATGCAAAATAAAAAATTCAAGCCAAAAAACTCACATGATCCCCATCACCTTTCCTGTTAGGTTCCATCTAAATAGTCATAAAATATTAGTTAATTTGCATCCTCAAATAATTTTAATTAAAAATTTTAGTTACAGACAATCACGTAAATACAAAATTTTTTTTTTTTAACTTAGTCTGACAATTATTTACCTGATCCTCAATCGTATGATGATCAGTTTCTTGTAAACAAGTTCCTAGTATAACGGAATCATCGGCATGACAAAGCCCTCTCAACAATGATGTCGTAGTGTTGGCTGGATTTTCGGTCAGTGCAAATTCAGATACCAACATTCTTAAAAGATGAGTATAGGAGCCCTCAAAAGAATGAGGTGGTAAAAGCGATAATGTTTCATACAGCCTTAATCTAACCATTGCAGCAGGTGCCTTTAAATGCTGGCCGTATGTTTTAAGAACCGTCGATATGCTAATAGAAAAATTTATTTGCATTAATACCGTAAAAAAAATTTTTTTAAATAAAATAATATATTTAATAATTACTTGGTTAGCATTGCCAAGGCTGATTCAATCGGAGTCAGCAAACGTCTGATAATATCATCATTAACAAGCTCGGGACAATTTTGTATAAAACTATGCATGGCAGAAAGTGCACCCGCTCGACCTTCTAAAGTTACCTAAAAAAAAAATTAAAGACAAATAAAAATTTATTCTTAAAAGAAGACATCATTGCAGATAAATAAAATTTCTGATTTTTACCTGCCACGTGAATGCATCTCCTCTTGCTTTTTCCGATTCCAATTCTTTATTTGACCGTGGAAAAGAATTTCTCCACAAAAGTAACATTCGTGGCAATAAACCTCTTACGACTGGTACTCCTAAACTCATTATCCCTCCAATTAATAACCAACCAGCGTGGGTTCTATTTAATGATAAACGACTATTTTGACTGGCACTGCGAAGTAATTCTTCTCCGGTGTTAAAAATTACCTTAAAATTTATAAAATTTTATCTTATGTATTTAAAAAAAAAAACTTTTTATTAAAATAAATTTCTAATTTTATTTATTAATATTACTTTTCCTTTCGTATGGGGTACTCCTAATGGCGATAACCTTACTCCACCGAGAACAGCCGCGAGTGCTCCACTGTAACCACTTATTCCCTCCGGAGAAGCTTTCAAATTTTCTATACTTTCAATGCATCTAAATCAAATTTTCAAGTTAAAAGTTTTTATGTATTTATCTAGCGATATATGGGGTATAATAAAAACTATTTTACTAACCTATCAATTAAAGGAGTACTCTGACTTGGAACTGCAACGCAAATGCAACGAAGACACCACGCAGCGGCTAATCTTGCTGCTTGACAAGGGTGTACGAGAACAACACAAACAGTTTCGACTAGATCTAAAAGTAATATTTAATTTAAATTTAATTGAAAATGTGCAATAATAAAAAAATTTTGGGAAACTTACTTAGAGATTGATCTGATATAAGATTTTGTGCCACCGTGCCGAGACCCAAGAGCAAGTTTCCCATTTCTAATAGAGCACACACTAGCAAATGTTGACTAAACAAAGTCTCTTGATTACAGTCTTTTGCATTTTCAGGATTAAAATCTGTAAAATTAAAATTTTGTATTTGAAAAAATGATATTGAGCGTTTTAAAAACTTCAAATTCAATGATATAATTTTAAAATAATCACCGATAGAATTCATTTGCTTTGCCACAACTAGAGTAATTTCTTTGCAAGCAGATGTTTGAGCTTTTTCTCCAAGCATTCTTCCTAAAACGCTACGAAGTATGAAATTTATACATTTTCTTGAATACACAGCATCGACATGCGATGATGCTGCTTTAGGATTTGCAGCAAGATCCAATACGTGAGCTAAAAAAACGGGAAGATTGCGTTCAACCCAAACATTCCCCAACATTTGAGCAAATATAACGTAAGCCTATAAAAAAAATATAAAGAAAGCAATAAGCCAAGCTCAGTAAGGCTACTTTAAAATCTTTAAACCAAACAAAAGCATTGAAATTTACATGCGTAACTCCAACCCGAACTTCACGGTTGATTCCTGAGCTTCCCTTAATAATTTCTCCTGTTCCTTTTAAAAAACTAACACCGCCACGAAGAAAACCGGCCATTAAAATTCCGAGAGCATCTTCCAATGACATAGTTTTATTTGTTTTCACAGATTGTTGTTGTCCCGATGTACCTAAATTTTACAAATATATTCCTTAAATTAAAAAAGTAAATTTACAAAAAATTCTCTTAAGTAAAAAAAACACCTACCAGAACCTTTAAGTTGCCTTTGAGTACTAGCAACGAGTGCACCTAAAAGTTTAGCCACCGAACAACGAACTTCATAGTTTGAGCCATCGAAAGCTCTAAAACACAAGCTGGCAAGGTTTTCAAGTTCGGTAGTGTATAAAAAAGGAGCGTGATTTAACATTTCTAAAAGGCATTTGGCAGCAGCACTTCTTACCGCCATAACTCTGTCCGTCATGCAATGTCTAGCCGATTTGTAAATATCTTTATGAACGTTACTAATGGCATTTCCCATACCGGCACAAACCTATAAAAATTTTAACTGTGCATGTCGTAGTTGTCAAGTAAAAAAAAAAAAATTAATTAAATAATAAACTTTAGTAAGAACCTTTTCAAAAGTAAGCATGACTTCGATTCTTGTTTGGGATTCAGCGTTTCTTAAAGCTTTATTTAAAATTTGTACGGTTTCCTCATAAGATCTTCCCATCATTCTCCCAAGTTTTTCATACATGTAACCGACGCAACAAATTGCAGCCCTATAAAAATAAAATTAAATTAAATGTCGTCATGGCCGTCGTGGTCGTCTGTGAAATGTGTTTTAAGTGAATTTCACGTTTAAGAAATAAATATTTTACAATCGAGTCGGAAGAAAACTTGGAGAATCATCTTTATTTCTTATAATATCATTGCATTTGTTCACGCTGTCAAACAATAAAAACGTATCGCCAACGCTAAATAAAGTTGCTAAGCATCTTGCAATAAGTTTTCTCGTTGGGGGTCCCGGTGAAGCTTCCATTACTTCCGTTAACTGATCTACTAATTTTTTTTGACATTCTTTTATGTCAGACTGCAAAAAAAAAAAATAAAAAAATTATTTTTTCAAAAGAGTATGAAAAATAGATAATATTTATTTATTTGTAAAAATTATATTTAAAAACTTTTGTTTCCATTTATATATTTTATACTGTTTTTTATTTTTACCTGATATAACAAACTCAAAATATCAAGCCTAGTAAAAAATCTTTGTAAAGCATAATTTTAAAGGTGAGATTTAAATGTCATTTTTTTTTTTTTTCGGGAAATCTCTAGAGGAATTTTTAAAAGCGGGAAGTGTAACCTTTCTAAAGAGGTTACATTTGTAGAGGTAAGTATTATTCCCTTTTACAAGTCCTTCCCTAGATATGTAGTAATTTTAGTTAAGGATAATTTATTTAGGGTAAAAAATACATTAAAAGGTTTTTTTAGTTCCTACTAAAAACAACCATCAATAAATTACTTTAACATAAACTTAAAATTATTTTTAAAAAAATGTCTTGTTTTCTAAATGGTAATTTAACAAATTTTATTAAAAAAAAAAAAATTAAATTAAAATTTGAAAAAAACTAAATCAGCACGTCAAACGAAACTAACTAAATGATGTCAATTTAATAAAAATTTATTGTATTAATAATATTAAAAATTTTTTTTGTTAATAACGAATAAATGCTGAAGTAATTATTATTTATAATATTTTAATATTTAAGTTATTTATTTATTAATTCTTATAATTTAACTAATTAATTATTACATTTTGACTAAAAAGTTTTTTTTTAATTTTGAAATAAATTATCTTTTATTTAAGTATGACGTAATAAGAAATAAATAATAATAAAATAATAGTTTTTTATGTCAATAAACGGAAACATAAAAAGCGAATGCCGAAAAATTGTATCAAGTTTCGAAATGATTTTTTTTAGTATTTTTAAAATTAAATTTTTGAATTAATTACCTATTAGTGGTCATAATAAAGACAGCACTATTTTATAATATTTTTACACCTTGAAAATGTTTTATTAAAATTAAAAATTTAACTAAAATTCTAAATTATAATTTAGTATACATTACATATACTTGCAAAATTCGATATCGAATAAAATTTTTTTAAATTTTCTTAAATGTGCACTAACAAAACACAGATTATTTTAACAAATTCTTTTAAAATTGCTCTGTTGAAAGACTGCATTTATTTATGTATAGAAGTTCTTTACATAGTTTATGAAAGAGTAACCATTTACTTGAAAATTATCTTACATAGATATTACAATAAAACTTTACTTACTTTTTGTGCAGCAACTAAAACTTTGTCAAGAAATCTAAGCCATTCGAAAATAAAAACTGGTCTCTTGGCTTCAGGAATTTGCTTCAAAGCATCTTCATTAAGTGTAAGACTATGGCTAAGTTCCATCATTGCAATTTCTTGTCAAATTCTTTAAAAAAAAAATACAAGTCAAATTTTCAAAAAAAAAAAATTTTTTTTTTTTTTTGTTTTCAATTATATCTTTTATTACTTTAAAACAATACCTAAATTTTGAATAGTTTTTTACTGGAACACTTTCATAAGTGTTCGCTACACTAAGACAAACTAAAGATTTAAAATTTAAGAACATTATTATATCAGTAAAAGTTGACAACTAAAAGCTGACACAAACTTACTCTTTAAATTACAATGAATAGTATGCGTCGGCTCAGAATCAAAGATTATATAGTTTACAATAAAAATGAAATCATTGAATAATTTTTATTTTTGATTCGGTATAACGAATTTTAATGATAAATTAATGATTTTACTCTTAAAATCATTGTAAACCTAAAAGTTACGTCATCAATTATAACATCATATCATAATCATAATTACTTTACCTTAAATTGTAAAATCTATAAAGATTGCTAACGATAATAAAAACTACATAAAAAATATAAAATAGTATATATAATAATAATTTTTTTTTTTTTTTTTTTAAATTAAAGTAAAATTAAATTTATGGCAAATTTTTAAAATAAATAATAATATTATTTATAATTTGTTGACCTATATAAACAGCCATGACTGCCAAATAGAATAAAATTATTCAGGAAAGCCAACTGTTTAAACATCAAAAGTACGTTTTGGTATTTCTAAATTTATGTGGGTTTTTGGTTATGGTTCTTTAATTTGGAAAGCTGATTTTCCATTTAAAACCAAACTTGTAGGATACATTAAAGGTTATAAACGAAGATTTTACCAATACAGTGTAGATCACAGGGGAAGACCTAATAAACCAGGAAGAGTTGTCACGTTATTGCCATCTCATTCCGAGGATACTGTTTGGGGAGTAGCATATGAAATATACAAGAAAGATGAAAATTTTGTTATAGCGCATTTAGATTATAGAGAAAAAACAGGGTATAAGAAACAACTTGTTACATTCTATCCAACTAAAGAAGTAAATAATAAGCCAACTGGAGATGCAGAGCAGGCTACAACCAGCGATGTTAAAGAAGAATTGTCGGAAAATTTGATGGTAGAACCTTTCAAGCTCATGATTTATATTGGAACTGAAGACAACAAATGGTATGGAGGACCAGCTTCAATTGAAGACATTGCAAAACAGATACATGAATCAGAAGGTCCAAGTGGAACTAACAAAGAATATCTATTTAATTTAGCTGATGCAATGAGAAAAATGGCACCACATGTTAATGATGAGCACTTATTTGCTTTAGAAAAAGCAGTTTTAAATCTTGAGCTTTCAGGCGAGAAAAAGGAAAAGTAAACTACTTCAACAGAAGTACACCCTTTACGATTATTTATATATATATATATATATATAAATATGTATAAAAAAATTTTCTGTGAATATAAACTTATTTAAAAAAATTTTTTTAAATTTATTATTTATTATACTTAGAAGCTTTTTTGAAAATAATTAAAATATAAAGCCAAATGACAAAAAAAATATTGTAAAAATGATTAATCTTTTTCAGCAATGGCAGTTAAATGTTTATCCAATTCTTGTTCAGATAAAACAGTAAAAGAAGGATTATCCTTAGTGACAATTCCAACTTCAATTTCAGATGGTTTAAAGTCAACTGACAAAACAGTTGAGAGACATGAAATAGCTAATTGAATAGCCTCATCATTACTAAAAGACTGCTTTTTTTTGAGTTTCTTTTCTAAATAACTATTTGCTTCAGTTTGTTTTGCTCCCACACTGATAGCTCTGTATCCACAAAAGTATCCAGCAGGGTCAGCTTTGTAGACACATGGTCCTATTTCACTATCATATCCAATTAAAATCATACTGCAACCTAAAGGCCTCATTTCAGCATTTTGAGTGTAAATTTGAGATATATCAGCAATTCTCTTGCATAAAGCATCAATCGGTATTTCTCTTCCATTTTTGTATCTCCAATTAGAAGCTTCATACCGAGCTCTACGAACCTGAGACCTGCTATCAGCTAAAGTCAAAAATTAAAAATTAAAAGATTTGTAAAATACTCATTATAATAGATTTGAACATAATCCTTACAAATTATTTAAAAACTAATAAATGCGTACAAGGAAAAATATATGTATTTAATCATTAAAAAATTTGAAGTAACTTTAATTATTATAAAAATTGTAGACATTTACAGGTGTATCCAAAAAAAACTTCAAGTAAACAAAGAATTAAATTTTAACTCACCTATCATACCGGTCATGACGCACCCAATGTTTGAGGTTAGTTGAAATAAATGTGTCATGGTACCTCCATCGAGTAACTTATCGGGTACTTTTTTTTGCGTTGCTACTACTGCTATTTCTTCACCTTTCAATCCAACAGAAGTTAGCCCCCCTTGATTAATTGCTTTGAAGGCATATTCTAAAAATTATAATTTTGCTTTGTCATCCGTGGATTATGAACAACCGAAATGATAGTAAATGTTTAAATTTATAAAAGTTTTGACTGAAAATAAATTGTTTAATCGCAAAATAGAAGCTTACCAACTTGGTATAATCTTCCCTCTGGGGAAAAAATTGTAATGTGACGATCAAACCCTGCGCTGCTACCTCTAGCCATTTTCAAGGTATAAATGATAAACAGTTTTGTATAATGACTACCAACTTAATAAAAAGTATTAATATTATTAACAAATATTATTTAAAAGGCAGTGGATAAATAATGGATAAAAAATAATGTAGCTCCTGGTCAAATTTTATAAAAATTAATAAGTTTTTAATTTAAAAAAAAAAAAAAAAATAATAATTCATGATTTTTTTAAATTATAAATAATACTGTTAAAAAAAAACTCTTTAAAAAAAAATGAGTGGAGAAGCTAAAAAAAGTTTATTTGTTTCCTCAGGTTAAAAATTAAATTTTTTTTTAAATAAAGGCAATTAGTATAAGTGTTACGTTGTATATTTAATTTGTAAATAATACTTATTTTAGAACACCCTCACGTTCGGTATAATCCGTTGGTCGGACAATGGGTTTTAGTTTCACCTAATCGTTTTAAACGACCTTGGCTAGGACAAATAGAAAATTACGCCGAAGAACCTGTGCCTGAATTCGACCCCGAAAACCCATTATGCCCTGGAGTTAAACGTGGAAATGGGGAGGTATAAAGTTTAAATAAAATTTTAAACTTTAAATTTATGTTTACATTTAAAAACAATAAAATTATTTTAAAATTAAGGTGAATCCACAATATACAGGGTGTTTTGTTTTTAATAATGATTACCCTGCATTAATGGAACGCCCTAGAGAAATGGAAATAAGTAATGATCCTCTTTTTCAAATTAGACCTGCAACTGGAGTATGCAGAGTCATGTGTTTTCACCCTAAGTCAAATCTTTCAATGGGTCAATTTAATATTAAAGAAATAATGAAAATAATAGAAATGTAAATGTCAGTTATTTATTTAATAATGTTGCCACTTATTTTTAATAAATCTAACACATTTACTATTTTAAGTTGGATTCAGCAAACTGAAGAATTAGGTAGAAAATATGTTTGGGTCCAAATCTTTGAAAATAGAGGAGTAATAATGGGTTGTTCGAATCCTCATCCTCATTGTCAAATTTGGGCATCTGCCTTTTTGCCCAACGAACCCAGGCTAAAGGATTTTTTTCAACTAGAATATTACAAACAATATGGAAAGCCTTTATTACTTGATTATGTTGAAAGGGAGCTTGAAAAAAAAGTAAATTTAATTTTAGTTAAAGCTCTTAATTTCCCTTTAATTTTCCTCTTTATTTTACTCCAATTTTCTTTCTATTCATTTTAGGAAAGAATAGTTCTTGAAAATGATTCTTGGGTAGCTCTTGTGCCATTTTGGGCATTGTGGCCATATGAAACAATGATCATTCCAAAAACTCACATAAAACGATTTACCGATTTAGATGTTGAAAATCCAAAAACAAAATCATTAGCCATGATAATAAAAAATTTAGTGTCAACCTATGATAACTTGTTTAAATGCACATTTCCTTATTCAATGGGATGGCATGGTAAGATGAATAATATGATTCTTTAAATGAGAAAAGAATTATAAATTAAATTTGTTTGTAGGAGCACCAACTGGAAAAAGAAATATAATGGATTCAACACATTGGGTTTTTCACGGCGTTTATTATCCTCCACTACTAAGATCTGCAACAATAAAAAAATTTTTTGTCGGATATGAGATGTTGGCACAAGGTCAAAGAGATATAACACCAGAAATGGCAGCTGCTAGACTTAGAGCGGCTATAGAAAGTACATCCACAACAAATAGCAGTAATAAATGAAAAAAAAATCATGAATTATAACCAAAAAAAAAAAAAAGAAAAATTATTTTGATACATTCAGCTTTTTATATTAATATAAAAAAAAATTACTAATAAATTGGAAAGTCTGGATTAATTTCTTTTGCCCATGATTGTAAACCGCCTATTATATCTTTTATATTTTCTTTTGGAAACTTTTTATTTAATTCAAGAACTGCTCTTTGTGAATCATTTCCTCTTCTGCATATAACATAAACTAAAAAAATGTATAATTCTAATATAATTTCTCTTAAAATTATATATAATTTTAAGAATGTAATTAACTTACTTGGTACTTGTTCTCGCTGTTTGTTTATCTCATTGCTTATTTTTTCAATACTTTCTTTTGAATTTATTTTGTCTATTGGAAGATTAATTGAATTATCTAATTTGCATATTGCATATTCTTGAGGGTTTCTGACATCTACCAAAATATGAGGTTTTTTTCTATCTTCACTATAATTTGCAACAGTTATTCTTTTACAGTTTGGCAGTAATGATAAAGTATTGTACTTGTCATTAGATTTACTTTGGCAAAATTGCTCATAGTCAATTAATTCAGTTATGATTGGATTTTTTCCACAAACTTCACAATTAAGATTTTTTCCCCTTAGTTTTACTTTTCTAATACATGAATCATTACCATCAAAAAGTAACAAGTAACCATTTATAGTTTTTTGTTTTAAAATTAACTTGATAGTTTCTAAAGCTTGAAGAACGCCAATCGTTCCAGGGATAACACCTAAAACTCCACCATCGCTGCATTTTGTAACTGTTTCTGGAGGAGGAGGAACAGGAAATAAACATCTGTAGCAAGGACCCAGTTCATAATTATAAATTGTAAGTTGTCCTTCCATTTGAAGAGCACTTCCGGATATTAATGGTTTTTTAGATAAAACACAGGCATCATTTAATAAGTAACGAGTTGCGACATTATCTGTTGCATCAACAATGACATCATAGTCTGATATTATGTCGAGAGCATTTGAACTATTTAATAATGTAGGATAAGTTTGTACTGTAATTAACGGATTTAAGTTTCTTAAAAAAATTGCTGCAGAATCAACTTTTTTCATACCCACATTATTTGTGGTATGTAAAATTTGTCTATGTAAATTATTAACTTCTACTTCATCATAATCGACCAAACCTATACGACCAATACCACTACCAGCTAAGTAAACGCTTGAAGGACAACCTAAACCTCCAACTCCTACTATTAATACTGAAGACCTTTTTAACAATTCTTGTCCTAAAAATAAAAATGAATAATTACTTAATAAAGTAAATTTGAAATTTCAAAATATTTATGAAAATATTATTTAATAACCTTCTACGCTAAAATCTTTCAATAGCATTTGCCTACTATATCGACTAATTTCTTCACTTGACAAAGTAATTTTGGAATCATTTTTATCACCATCGCCATCAATAATTACACTTTTTTCTGAATTTTTAAACTCCATCACTTAGGAAGTTAGTTTAATGAGTGAGGCTTTAGCATGATTGAGCAGACGAAAATGTTTAGCGCGAAATTTAAAAATAATAATACTTTTTATTATAAATTATATCAATATATGCATATAATTGCATGTAAAAAGTAATTTTGTAATTTTAAATTCAATTTTTAACGTATTTTTAACGTGCTTTGTAAAAAACTCAAGATAAAAAAAAAAATTTTCTCTGGACATAATAAATTTATCCCTAAAGATATTTAGGAAAATCAAAATTTAAAAATAAAATAACCGAAATGTTTTTAATAATTAAACATAAAAAATACTATAAAATACACACGTACCATGCACGTAAAATTTTTTTTATCACCCAAAAAAAAAAAAAAAGTAAAAAAATCCTTTTTTTGATTTCCCTGGAAAAATCAAATTTTTAAAAAGCGCCAAACGTCATGATTCCTTTCTAAGCGTCTGCTTAGGTGACTTGTGTCACCCATCGGTTTTTCAATATAAAAATAAAGTTATTAATTTAATTAAACTATCAAAAATTTATTTTATTTTAAATATTGTTTAAATAATACTAAAGGTTTGTTTTTCATTTTATTATATTTATTTAACCTGGTAAAATTTTTTTGTAGCCTATAATAAATCGTCAATACTTTCAATATTAGGTGTAAATTTTTTTAAATTAGCAGTTCCTCGTAATGAAAGTCAATAACAGTACTAAAAAAATAATTAAAATTTAATTTTTTTGCACATTACAAACGTTTCATTTTTATAATCGTATTAAAAATAATATAATTCTATCATTACCTTTTTAGGTGCTAGCGATGTCTTGTCCATTTCTTAATTGTTTTTCAAAAACTTTTGTTAAAAGATATGGAACCATATTGTCTGCCAATTTTGAAAAATATTGCCCCGTTGTGGGATCTTATTACTGCACGTTACCATCTGAGTAAGCATTTTCACTTTGGTTTTATCTTTACATTCTAATTTTTTTTAATAATAATTCACCCTTTTTTGTTTTATCTTATTAATTACACATTACAATAACATGGAAACGTTTTTTTTGTTTATGAAAAAGAAAAAAGGTAGAAAAGAATCCTGTTCAGAAATGTCCATTTTTAGCAAACTCAACTCAATCAAAAATAATCAAAGAAGCTAATGAAGAATGCCAAGAGGATTTGATTTTAAAAAAAAAAGTAAGTCTTCTTCATATTATTCATTATTTTAAATGATAAAAAATTATTTACTCTACATGTTTGTCTTTAAGGAAATTTCAATAAAATCAAGTTTTGATTATGAACAATTTTTTCATTCTCAAATATTAAAAAAAAAACAAGATCATTCCTACAGAGTTTTTAAAAAAGTCAATCGGTTGGCTCAAAGTTTTCCATCTGCCCTGGAATATACTGGCAAGAAAAAAACTGTGACTGTTTGGTGTTCAAATGATTATTTAGGAATGTCAAGACATCCTCAAGTAAAATCTTAATTAAAAATTTATTTTGTGATTTAATTAAAACAAAAGCTTTTGATTTAACCAAACAAAGAGAAATTTACTTTAAGCTTTATATTATTTTATTTTTTATTTAAAAAGGTGATAGCGGCTGTAAAAAAAGCATTGGAAAACCACGGAACGGGAGCCGGTGGAACGCGTAATATATCGGGAAATTCTCTTTTTCATGAAAATCTTGAAGAAGAAATTTCTCGATTGCATCAAAAAGAATCTGCACTTTTGTTCACTTCATGTTTTGTCGCTAATGATTCTACATTATTTACACTAGCAAAGGTAGATTAATGTTAAAATTAAACAATGTATAAAAATCAATGAGTAATAACATTTTAAAATATTATTTTCAGGCTCTTCCTGGTTGCCATGTTTTCTCTGACGCAGGTAATCATGCTTCCATGATTCAAGGTATTAGAAATAGTCGAGTACCGAAGCATATTTACCGTCATAACGATGCTGATCATCTAAATGAAATGTTGTCTACGGTAGATCGTGAAATTCCAAAAATAGTGGCTTTTGAAACAGTACATTCCATGACTGGTGCAGTTTGTCCTTTAAGTAAAGAAATTAAATACAAAATTTTCGCATCAATAATAATAATAATAATTTAAGCATTTAAAACAAAAAAAAAAAATTTTTTTATTTTTTAGAGAAATTATGTGATGTTTCACATAAACATGGTGCTTTGGTTTTTGTTGATGAAGTCCATGCGGTTGGTTTATACGGAGAACATGGAGCCGGTATCGGCGAAAGAGACAACCAGCTTAACAATATGGATATTATATCAGGCACATTAGGAAAAGCATTTGGAAATATAGGAGGTTACATAGCAGGTTATTATAACCTAATAATAATTTTTCATTAAAACTCGTATCGATTTAATTTATGTATTGTATGGCATTTTTAATAAAGGATCCAAACATCTCATCGATATGATACGCTCCTATGCGGCAGGATTTATATTTACGACGTCTCTTCCACCGGCAGTATTAGCGGGAGCTAGAGAATCGATTAAAATTCTTCGATCATACGAAGGTGCAGTCCTGAGGGAAATGCACCAACAAAACGTTAGATTGTTGAGGTAATAAAAAAAAAAAAAAAAATTTTTTCTGGACCACCGGAAACGGGTGGTGAATTGTCTTGAATCTTACCCCTTCATTCTTCCTCACTTATGATTTCGATTTATTTTTATGAATTTTAAAATAAAGAAATAAATTGCAAGAAGCTGGTCTTCCATTAGAACACACTCCATCTCACATAATTCCAATTCGTTTGGGTAATGCTGAAAAATGTACTCTCGTATCGGATATTTTACTTCGAGACTACGGTCACTACGTTCAAGCCATTAATTATCCGACCGTACCTGTGGGACAAGAAAAATTGCGTTTAGCTCCGACACCGTTTCACACAAAACAAATGATTGAGATTTTAGTGAGGGACATGATTTCAGTAAGTATTTAATAATACCTTAAAATTTCAGGAATTTAATTATAATAAGAGAATAAATCACAAAAATTTTGGCTTTTTTTTTTTTTTCAGGTTTTTAAAAAGTTAAACATTCCAACATTTTCTAATAATAATATTTGTCCGAACGAATGTTCTTATTGCAAAAAACCTTTGCTATTTAAAAAGCAAGAATCGAAAATAAATAATTATTCTAATTTAAATAATTGTTGCGAATTACCAAACTGTCCTCAAATTCAAAAAATTCCCGCATCGATTTAAAATTAATAGTTTGACAAAGATTCATCTTGTTGTTTCGCATTTATTAATTATAAAAAATTTAATTTTCTTTTTCTTTTTCCTTTTTAGTAAAGTAGGTTATAGTTAAACAATAATTGCACGACCGTCATAGTCATTTCAATAAATTATTATTCGTGTACCTTAGAATTGTTAAACCTTAGAATGTAAAAGCTAAACTTGAGTTACCCACCAATATAAATATTATTTAATCCGAAAAGGATAAAAGATTAAAAGGGATTATATCCGAACGGATTAGAGAAAAAAAAAAAAAAACACGATTCTAGTCGATTTAGATTAAAAACTATCGTTCCTATCAAAATTGTTACCATTTAAAATACATATACGAATGTGTTTTGTTTTAACGAATAAAAAATTTTATTAATTATAAGAAAAAAAAAAATTATTTTTTTCTTTTGCACAAAATTCCTACCAAATTGTAAACCGTTTTCCGTTATCATTATTAATATTTCAGCAGTCGAAAATTCCCCCCTCCCCTCCCCCCCCTAAAAAAATAGATAAATAAGAGTAAAGGAAATTTGCTTACCATTCATTTTATTATTATTATTAATAACATCTTCGCATCGTACGCATAAACGTTCAGGTTCTGGAGAAGTGTAACGTCTACATCTGGGACATTCACTAGCATCAGTTAGGTTCAGATTAACTTTTCCATCTCCCATTTTGAGTTTAACTTCGGCCACTTGTAATATTTCAGTTAATTCCGAATCGATGCTGTTCACATTTCCATCTTGCATTTTCTAAAATAATAAATCAGCAGATTATTATTTTCTTTTTTTTGATAAAAAATCGACATCGAATTTGAAAAATGGGTCGGTTTACCTTAAGTTCCTCAAAATTTTCTCCATCAACTTCTAGAGTGCAAGACATTTTTTTAAAATTTGAATCTAATACAATGTCTTTCTTGAAGTTATCTAATAATAATATTGTTTTATCCGTTGTATCATTTGACCACCATTCACGTGGTACCCAAGGTTCTTTTCTAAAAAATACTCTTTTATTTTCACTGCTCACTGGATGATGTAAAAACACTTCTTCGACTAAATGCGGTAAAATAGGGGCTAGTGAGTAAGACAAAGTGTATAAAATACTGTTTAGAGTATACAGGCACGCTTTTCGGCGACTCGATTCTTGAGAGTCACAATACAAACGATCTTTTATAGCAGAAACGTACCGAGAAGATACATTATTCGGAACGAAATGAAGTATTTGAGAACATACCGAATACGTTTTATAAGTATTGTAAGAATGCATCACTGATTTGTAAAAATTGTAGCAAGAGTTCAATAAGTACTTATCTAAAGTTAAAAGATCATCATTTTCTAATAAATCTTTTGATCGCGCATTGTTTAAAGCGCCAAGAAGGTATCGAAAAATTAACCTGATACTTTGCACTGTTTTAAATTCGGATTTTAAAATAGAATCCGAAACCGGTACAAGAGAATTATGGGAATGTGAGCCGACCCACCATCTTAACGTATCAATCCCTAATGCATTTTTTCCATTCAACACCGTGTCTGGGTCAACAACGTTTCCAACAGATTTGGACATTTTTTTACCATTTTCATCGACGGCGAATCCGTGAGTTAAAATTTTGTCAAAGGGAAGTCCATTACCGACGGCAACACTCGTTAATAATGACGATTGAAACCATCCTCCGAATTGATCTTTCCCTTCGAGAAAAACATCAGATTTTCTGCCGTTTAAAGCAAAAGACCATGAAATTCCACTGTCGAACCAAATATCCATAATATCATTTCCTCTAATTATATTTTCTCTTTTTACAAATAGTTCATTGCAAATTTTATCGGGAAAAAGTTCCTCTAACGTTCCGGTCCACCAAATATCCGATCCAGAAGACTCGAATAACTGGCAAATGTGATGAATTAAGCTTTTAGAAATGAGGGGTCGGCGAGAAGTCTTGTGAAAAAATACTGGAATCGGTACACCCCATGTCCTTTGCCTTGATAAACACCAATAAGGTCGTTCTTTAATTAATGATTGAAAATATTTATCTGGAGTGTCACTGTCTCGTAAATTTTCCTATTAATATAAGTTGTTTGAAGGTTGAAAAAAGATTCAAAAAGTAAAATTATGCATTCTTGTTAAAACTTACAAGTGCTTTGTTTTTCAATTGATTGGTATCAATAAACCACTGCTCACAGGCTCTGATAAACACCGGTTTGTTGGTTCTCCAGTCATGCGGATAGCTATGAGTATAATTTTCTGATAAAATAATATCAGAAGACAATGTCTTAATTACAGTATTTTTCCCTTCTCCAAAAATATTCAAGTTAGCCAATGGAGGGCCTAAATCTGATGTGTAACAACCGCTTTCATCAACAAAACATTCCTAAAATTTAACAATTATTTTGAAATAACCTTTCTAAAATTATATTTAAATTTCATCATTATAATTACTGGTGTCAAATTGTTTTGTAAACCCATGACAAAATCTTCGTGACCATGAGCAGGAACTGAATGAAGTAAGCCAGTTCCTGAAAGTGTAACACTTGACGATTCAAAAACTTTTAAAACTTTATTTTTATCCCATGGATGTTTGTATGATAATCCTTCCAATTCTTTACAAGACATATTTGAATGAATTGTAATTTCTTGCTAAAAGAAAAATTTTTTCTTAGATATAAGAAAAAAATAAAATAAATTATTATATATTTTAACACATACTTTCAATTTTTTTTGTAAACTCTCAATTAAATCAGAAGCAATTATATACATCCCGGAAAAATTACTAATTTTAACTAAAGAATATTTTATCGAATTAGAAAAATAAACGGCTTTATTAAGAGGCAAAGTCCATGGGGTTGTTGTCCAAATTAGTAAATAAACAGGTTCAGAACTGAAGTTTTGCACTACTTCAAATCTCACAGTCAATGCAGTACTTGAAATGTCTACATACAATAGTTCTGCTTCTGCCAATGCAGTCCTAAAAAAATAAAATCAAAACTTTTTTTTATATGACTCAAAATATGTAATTTTTTTAAAAATTTCGATTTAAATGTAAATTTTGTAAATTACATTTTCGTAGTAAACTTACTTGGATGACGGAGACCAAAATACAGGTTTTAAACCATAATAAATTAATCCCTGAAATTAAACTGCTTACAGTTCATGATAATTTTAATTGGATATAACTTGACGCTTTATTTCAGCACTTAATACTCACTCTTTCATACATTTTCCAAAATATTTGCAATTGATTAATTATATAATTAGTATCGAATGTGTAATAACAATCATTTTCCCAATTTCCTATAACACCCCAACTCTTAAATGATTCCTTTTGTAATTTTGACATAGAAAGTGCTATGTTTTTAGCTTTATTTCTAATATCAATCGGTTTTAAATTTTTAGTTTCTACGTTTTTTAAAGCTAGTAGTTCAATAGGTAAACCATGACAGTCCCAACCTGGTACATAATGAATCTTTCTCCCTTGAATTAATTGAGACCTTAAAATAATATCTTTGGAAATCTGCAAATGAGTTTTTATAAGTTTATAAATATATATTTTATATGTAAAACTCTTTGATAAAAAGCATACTTTATTTATTGCATGTCCTATATGAGGTTTCCCATTTGCATAAGGAGGACCATCGTGTAACACAAATTCTTTTCCTTTTACATTTTTTCTTTGCCAGGCATACAAATTTAAAAAGTTAGCTTCCTAAAAAAAAATTTTTTTAAATATTCAGTTTTAAAATTTATTTTGCAATAATTTAAAAGATTACTTAAATAATTTTTTCAAAGAAATACCTGCTGAATTTTTTGATCCCTTTCAATAACTTCATTCGGTTTAAGGTAAGTTGGAAAGGTTGTACTCGGTATAAAAACGGTACTTTGAAATTTTTTTGATTTTTTCTTTTCTTCTACCGCAATTTTTGAAGAATATAACCTTTTCGGAACAATTTTTTGAAAGGTTTTTCTGCGAAAGTACATCATGATTTCTAGAACGACGAAAAAAATATTTTACATAAAAACACAATGCAATATATACAATATTTTCAACAACAAAAAAAAAAAAATAGATAATTCAATTTTTTATCTCATTTTAATTTTTAAAAGTAAATGATTTGCTACGATAATAACCTCTCAACCGAAAATTAACGTTCGTTCGACAAAAATCTCCGCACCTGTGAATTGTTTTCCTTTTTTGGCGCTCATTTTGTATGTCATCATGTAAAAATCATTTTATTGCAAAATTTTTTTTTTCTCTCGTATGTAAATAATCGATGATTTATGATTTGATTAATATGAAAAAATTTTATAACGCATTATTATTATTTTTTTTTTTACAAGGTTATAAACTTAAAAATGTTTTTTTTTTCTTACAACTTATAAATTATATGTGAAAACAACCAATAACGCCATCAAGAAATAAAACTCAAAAGACTCATTTATTGATGGAAAAGAAAATTCATAATAATTTGGTAAAAATTATGTTGAAATTAATTTTAAGTATTTTAACAAATGTCAAAATATATTTTCAAGTTCTTTCATTACAAACATTCTCCTTTTTTATTTATTTATTTCTGATTTTTTAATCAGTTTGCTCTCTCTCTAAAAATGATTGAATCCTAATTAATGGATTCCTAATATTAATTAAAACAATGATTTTTTATAAACAAAATAAGCCAAAGTTTTTTTTTATATATAAATTATGACAAAAAAGTTTTAAAATATCATCTGTATAACTTAAAATATTGATTAAAATAATGAGGATCAAAATGAATCCTTATTAAATTATGTTCACTTTTAAGTTATTATTTCAATTCTTTGAACTATTTAATCCATTATCCAAACAATAATTCAAAAAAAAAAAAAATTGTAATTTAATATTTAAAATTAAATTGTTAATTATTTTTTCAATTAGTAACAAGCCCATATTAAACTTTAATTTATAATAAAAACTCAATGGAAAATTACAACAACAACAACAATAAAAATTTAATGTAATTATAATATAGAATTAAAAATAAAATAAAATTGATTTTTGCATGAAATTAATTTTATTATTATTATTATTATTTGCTATAGAAAAAAAAAAAAAAAGCTCACCCAGGCAGGTTATTAATACTTTCGACGGTTGAAAATGTGTTTAAAAAATAAATAATTTTAACGGAAGATATGAGAAGAAAATTATTTGTGTCACTCTTGCACGAAACTTTATTTTATCAAGAACCTTTAACTAGTGATAACACTCCAACAGTTGAACGATATATTCAATTTACCTTTCTTCAACTCGATTATTATTATTATTATTATTATTATTATTTTAATTCATAAAAAATGGGATCTTGTAACCCAGGTAAAAAAAAAAAAAAAATAATAATTAGAAAATTTTCATTTAATTTTTTTTTTATTTAAATGCGTTAACGCATCATAATTAAATTTTTAATTAATAAAATTAATTTATAATAACCGTTAATAAAAGATATTTGATTACAGGAGATATTCCCACAAGGCATATTTTATGTTTTATGTATGTTCTTGGATTTATATTTGTGTTTATGAATAGAGTGAGTTTAAATTTAACAATTGTTGGAATGGTAAAACCAATATCAGTTGGAAACGGTACAGAAAAAGAATTTTTGGAAGTTAATATAACATCAGATAATTTTAATCAAAGTGTACGTATTAAAAAATCAATTCTCAATACAATTATGACAAAAATATATAATTTTTAATTTAATTTTTTCTAACTAATAAAAGTCATCAACAAATGTTGATGAGGGAGAATTTGATTGGAGTGAATTTCAACAAGGGCTTATATTAGGATCATTTTTTTATGGATACATGGCATCTCAAATACCAGGGGGTAGAATTTCTGAAATTTGGGGTATGAAACCAGTTTTTGGATTATCAGTTTTAATAAATGGCCTCCTATCGATTTGCATACCATTTTCTGCCAGGCTACATTGGAGTTTATTATTTATTATAAGAATACTTCAGGGTCTTGCACAGGTAAATATGTTTCTATTATTATTATTATTATTATTACTAAACAAAAAATCTTAACTTGATTTATAAAGAGTTAAACATCAAATTCATTTCAGGGAGTGACATTTCCGGCATTAAGTTCATGTGTTGCAAAATGGGTTCCCCTGAGTGAAAGAGCCAGGTTCATTGCTTTAACAGCACAAGGTATATAAATATTTTAAAATAAAAATTTAAACATTTTTCTTAAACGTGCCTATTTTTTTTTTTAGGATGTTCGGTCGGTCCTGTAATTACTTTACCCCTTTGCGGGTGGATTTTAACAACGTGGGGGTGGCCTGCCGTTTTTTACACGACCGGATTACTAGCAGTAATTTTTTACGGATTTTGGCAGTATTTAGTCTACAATACTCCGGAAGAACATCCGCGAATATCACCGCAGGAAAAAAAATTTTTAGAAGAAAATTTAAAAGATGTATCGACAGGTGAAACCGGTCCCCTTCCGTGGAAAAAAGCTTTAACCTCTGTACAATTTTGGTTGGGGGCTGCGGCTCATGTCGGTAGCGATTGGGGATTTCATACATTTTACACATTCGGTCCTAAATACATAAAAGACGCTTTAAAATTCGACATTAATTCCGTAAGCATTTCATTGGTGACTAATTTAAAAATATAAAAATTCTATAATTATGAGTAAAATATTTAAATTTCAGAGTGCGATTTTATCTAGTTTACCCTTTCTTTGTCAATATCTTTCAGCGACAATAATAGGGATTTTAGCTGATAAAGCAGTTACCAACTATAACGTACCGATAAGACGCGTCAGAAAAGTGTCAGTTTTTATATGTAAGTTTAAATCCACTTATTTGGCAGATTAGTACCAGATTTTTTTGAAAATCATAAATTTTTTTTCAGCTCATTGCATGCCTGGTATGCTAGTAATCGTTTTGACTTTTATCGGTGACTACGTTAACCTATCTGTGGTGGTTTTAACATTGGCCGTGACCATGTTGGGTGGTTTGTCTACAGGACACTACCCCAACCCGATTGACATAGCACCAAATTTCGCAGGTAAAATTGGGATTATTTTAATTTTTACTAAAGAACTTTTATTAATTATTTATTTTCCCCAACAGGATCTTTAACGGGTGTCGCGAATACTTTAGGCGCATTAGGAGGTATTCTTTGTACAACCATAGCGGGTGCATCCCTACAAAATTTTGTAAGTTATATTTAAAATAATCAAAGATGGCCGGTTCCCCGGTAATTAATTTTTAACTTATTTCAGGGCACACCAAAAGGATGGCACGTTATTTTTTACGTGGCTGCTTCCGTATACGCAGTAACGAGTTTACCATTTATAATATGGGCAAAATCCGAAGAACTCCCGTGGAATTCAATTAAAAAAAAAAATTCAATGGTGGAATTAAAACAAATAACTAGAGATGAAAATGGTGAAAGCGTAAATTCAAAACTATTGTCTCAAAATGAAACATAATTTATTATAGGTTTTGATTTGGAATTTGAAAATCATTGTTGTTTTCATAAAAGTAATGATAAAGCTAACAAACGTCACAGCTTATTGCATAATGTTAAAAAAATAAAAAACTCAAAACCTTGGAATTAAGAAAAATGCGTAACCATAAGAAAAATAATGACTTTGTAATTTAAATAATTATTATTTATTACTTATTTAAGCAAAATTTAAGTTATTTAACTTTAGTACTTAAAAAAAAAAACAACTTTATGTAATTTTAATATTAAGTTTAATTTTAAGTACGATTAAATTTTTAAATTACTTTAGTTTTAAATTACGCTTTAGTTTAGTAATAATAATAATAATAACTTAAAAACTTAAAAACTTAAGCATCACAATTATAAAAAAAAAAAAAAAAAAAAACTTAATTAAGTAAGTCACAAATTCATTATAAATATTCATTTTAAGTATTAATAATTAAATTTAAATTATTAATTTTTCAAAAAAAATTATTATATTTTTTATCATAACACCTAATGTTAAAAATTTACTCTTTTCATAAAACAAAACAAGAGGTTAATGACCTTTTTAATTTTTTTGTTAAATATGAATGAAATAATTAGGAAGTGATTTATTTAACTAAAAATGATTTAACGTCCTTACAAAAAAAAAAAAAATAATAATAGTTTTTTAACAATAAAACGTTTAAGTGATAAGAATGATCATAATTGCAAGTGTAAGCACTTGAAATTTTATTATTATTATTATTTTAAATTCACATGATAAAATAAGTAAAACTAAATAAAAAAAAAATGAAAATATTAATCAATTGATTGCTGGACATTTTTTTCTTCTATTTTTTTTTTTTTTTAATAGGTTACTTTGTACGGTTTCTATTGCGTAACAAACGCACACACGTATATCTATTTGTTAAGAATATTCTACATTGTTCGTTACTAACTATTTTCTATCTTTGAAATATGAAAGGTTTATGATGTTGACTTAAATTCGAGAGAGAGAGAGAGAGAGAGAGAAGAAATAGAACAAAAAAAAGAAAAGAAAAAAGAAAAAAAGTCAAATAATGTGACTTTTACTTAAAAAAAAAAAAAAAAAAAAAAAAAAAAGGTTAATTATTTACTGAATTTAAAATGAGTTGTTTTAAAATTATATCTGGTACGTATTTATTTATTTATTTATTTATTAAAAATAAATTAAATTAATAATTTATTTATTTAAATTCTCTCTTGTTTAAAAAAAAAAAAAAATAATTAACATTGAATGTTTAAAATCTAATTTTTCCATTAAATAACAAAATCATTATTATTACTTTTTTTTTTTTTTTTAAATTTTTTGTTTATGTTTTAAAAATAGCATTAAGTAAAAAAAAAGTCATTATTGAGATCGTTTAACTATAATAAACAGGATAATTATAGTTTTTTGTCAATAATAATAATAATAATAAATTAAAAACTTTTCTTTTTTTTTTTTTTTTGTAATTATTTAGAGTCAATTCAACCTTTGCACTTGCATCAATGACAAAAAATCTGTTTTATAATATTTATTTATTAACAATTTAATAAGTTATTTAATAATAAAAAAAAATGTTCAAACGCTTGAGTAAAGTTTATTTTTATTTAATTATTAATTATCATTATTTAATTGATTTTTTATATTTTTATTTTTATTTAAAAAAAAAAAAAACTTTAATGGTGGTGTTACTTAAAATAAAATTTTTTTTTTTTTTCTTAGAAAAAATACCGGCGAGGCATATATTATGCTTTATGCTTTTTTTGGGATTTATGGTTACTTTTCTACTACGGGTAAATCTTAATTTGGCAATAGTCGCAATGGTGAATACAACAAACGTACAAACAAATGAAAATGAACAAATGAATTCTTTTGGAACAAACGAGTGTCTAGCATATCAAAACGATAGCATCGGTGGACAAAATACAACCACGGTAAAGTATTTACCTACTGAAGATGTAAAATAAATAAAATAAATGTTTAAGTTTTTTTTCTTTTTTTTTTTTTTGGGGGGGTGGGGGTGGGTAACAGAATGATACATTGAAAAAAGAAGAAGTAATTGGAGAATTCGATTGGAATGAATTTCAACAGGGAATAATTTTATCATCATTTTTTTGGGGTTATATACTCTTTCAAATACCAGGTGGAAGAATAGCCGAATTGTGGGGTCCGAAAATTGTTTTTGGAATGTCAGTTTTAATGAATGCTGTATGTGCTTTGGTATTACCTATTGTAGCCAGATGGCATTGGACATTTTTATTAGTTGCAAGAGCATTGCAAGGTTTAGGACAAGGAGTGGTTTTCCCATGTTTAACGGCAGTGGTTCCAAGATGGGTACCCGCCGAAGAAAGAGCTCGTTTCATTTCATTTGCAATTCAAGGTTAATATTTTTAAAAATTGGCAGAAAATAATTAAAAGAAGTGAATGAAAAGTTCCTAACAGTAAAAGTAATAAACATAATTAAAATTGTAAACTAAACTAGGATGTTCCCTGGGTCAAGTAGTCGCTCTACCATTGTGTGGTTGGATTCTAACTAAAATGGGTTGGCCGGCCGTTTTTTACGTTAGTGGAGTTTTAGGTCTTTTATGGTACTTTACATGGTACTTTTTAGTATACGATTCCCCTGATGAACATCCACGGATATCGGTTAAAGAAAAACAATTTTTAGAAAAACGTCTTCAAAAAATCGAACCAGTCAAAGTAAGTACATCTTAACCACCGATAAAAAGTTTATATTTATTTTTCTTACCTTAAATAAACAATCCATCAAATATTTTCGTTAGGCTGCACCGATTCCTTGGCTGTCAATAATGACATCTTTTCAATTTTGGGTTGGTGGTATAGCTGCTACCGGAAGTGATTGGGGATTCCACACTTTTTGTACTTTCGGTCCTAAATACATAAAAAGTGCTTTAGGATTCGATCTAGAACAAGTAAATATTATTATAAAACATGGGTTTTTTCATCATTTTTTCAGCCTAAAATGATTATTGAATTATGTAATTTAAAAGCATTTAGCCTAATTATTTAAACGTTTAGATGTATTAACCTTCTTCTAGTATTTTTGTTTTTAAAAACAATGATAAATATTTTTTTTTTAATATTGAACATTTTTTCAGAGCAGTTGGCTATCAAGTTTGCCATTTTTATCTCAATATATATTTTCAATGGGTTTTAGTGCTTTTTCAGACTGGTTGCTTAAATTGAATGTAAGCACTAAAACTGTAAGAAAATTTTCTGTTGTTGTGTGTAAGTTGAACTAAATATTAAGGTATGAAGTTAATAGTTTGAAGTAATACAATAATAAAATAAACTTTTTTAGCACATATACTTCCGGCTTTAGGATTAATTGGATTAACTTTGACAGGATGTAATGTGATGCTTTCTGTGGTTATTTTAACACTTAGTGTTACTATGCTGGGAGCCATATGTAGTGGATTTTTCCAGAATCCTTTAGATATAGCTCCAAATTATGCAGGTAAGACTTGAAGTAATTCTTCAACTTAAGTTTTTTGATTTTTTTTTGAAAGAAGTAATAATATTTTTTACTCAACTTTAAGGTTCTTTGACTGGAATAACAAACACTATGGGAGCAACAACAGCAGTTATATCAACTCCTTTAGCAGGAGCTATACTTCAGGCTAATGTAAAATAATTAAAGATATTCTAATATTGTAAAATTTAACAAAAATTCTAACATTAGTTTTTTTGGCTTTTAGGGTACAAATGCAGCTTGGCATTACATATTTTACATAGCTGCTGCAGTTTACATTAGTTCAAGTTTTTTATATTTGTTCTTTGCAAAAGTCGAATTAGAACCATGGAACGATTATATTTTAAAAGAAGAAAAAGGCATAAAATTAAAAGAAATGTTAAGTAATGAAAAAGAGGTTGAAGAAAGTGCTGTGTTGTCACCTTCATAAAAAAAAAAAAAAAATCCAGAAATAACTTTAAAGTTGCGTTACTTTGTTTAAAAAAAGACAAAAGTGGAATGTTATTTTATAAACAGGAATCAGCTTAATGTACGATTTAAATATTGAAATAACCATTTTTGTGTCAGAAAAAACCAGAGTTACATGTTTGCAAATGGCTGCAATAAGAGAATAAATATGAAAGAACATTTTCTTATGAAACTTACCTAGGAAATAATCTCAAAAATACTTTTTTTTAATAAATATTTTTGTAACATAAACTACGTATTACACTAAATATAAAATTATTTTTAAAACAATTAAATATATATATAAATAAATTATTTAAAATACCCTTAAGTTCCAAAAAAAAAAAAATCTGCGTTTAAAGTGTATCTTAGTGCCACTAAAAAAACCGTTACAAAGGAAAAAATCAGAGCTACAATATAAGACTTAATCAATTTACATTTTTTTTTTTTTTTTTTACAATCCAATATGAATTTTTATTTATTTTTTATTTATTTTATATTTTTTATATTGTTAAATTTTGTATTTAATTAAATTATTTAATATTGTAAAAATGAAGTATTGTTTATTTTAATCAAATAATCAACAAATTAAATTTCAATATGTTAACATTAAGGGAAGGTATTGATAAATGTGATAACAGTAAAATTATATCATCTTTGATAAAATTAAGAAAGTTGTCGGAGAACAGTGCAATAGAAAAAAAAACCTTTTTATTATTAGTAGATTTATTAAAAGCACCAAACACAAAAATATTGAATTATGCTTTAAGTTTATTGGCTAATTGTTGCATTCACAATAATTATAGAATAATGTTTAAAGAAGCAGGAGGTGTCACACATCTTATTTTAATATTGAATACAATAGACTGTGATGGCATAATTTGTAGAGCTTGCAGATTAGTAGGTAATTTAGCATTAAATAATGAAATAGCTAAACATTTATGTGAGAATAATGTTGGAATATCTCTGTTGGATATCTTGGAAAGACATGAAAATTTATCCATGGATGCTTTGACGATGGCTTTTCGAGCAACCAAGTATGCATTAACAATAGCATTTTTAGTTTTTAGCTCTAAAATTGTACAATTCAGTAAAATTTATCATATTTTAAAGTATTAAAGGGTTTATTTTTTACTTCATTGCTTAAGACAAAGACAATTTGATTTTATTAAAATGCAGTATTATTTGTAAATATTTATTCAATTATTTTTTATTTATAATTACTTGTACTTTTCTAGGAAACTTTGGACATTTGCCGAATTCAAATGGAAAAAAATTCCAGATAACTTGATATCTTTATTTAATAAATCATTGGATTCTGACAATAGTGAATTTATTAAATTAGTATTAAAATTATTATATTTATTGACTGATGTTAAAAGTGTTCGAAAAAATGGTCAATTTAAAGTAGGTAATCATTATAATTATCAATCAGTAACTTTAAAAATTTTAACTCGTTAATTGAAAACATTAACAAAGTGTAACATAATAATTTTTGTGCAAAACAGGTATCAAAAGAATTATTCTTGAAGCTAATTAACATTTCAAAAAAATCAGAGTTTAATTATTTATCAATATCTTGTTTAAGTAATTTGATTAGTTTTCAAACATCATGTGTATGGAATTATTTGGAAGGTTCGGATATAGCAGAACTTTTTATTGACTACTTTCAAAAACAAGATGTTATAAAACCAGGTAAAATTTTCATTTTTATATAAAATTTTTAAAATGTTTTTTATATCGAATTACATCTCAAAGTTTTTTAGATCTTTTCAGGGCTTTTCATAAATTGTGTACAGAAGGAGCAATTAGAAATAAAGTTAGACTTTCAGGTTTGTTAACTAAATTAATAAATAAATGTGATCCTGGGAATGAACAAAAATTATTAGCTGTGTTATACTTGTTTCAATATGATCAAGCTAGCATGTGGGTGAGTTTAAATTTCTTTGACGAATATGTAAAAAATTTTCAACTTTTAAAAAAAAATTTAAGAAATTGTTTTTTAAACTTTTCAGATATGTTCACAAAATCCTAAATTCATTGCCATGTTATTTAATAACATAAAAATTCCAACATCTGTTCAATTATTAATAATTATATCCAGAATAACACCTCCAGTTAAAGAATTAGTAATCGATGAAAATTTAGATATAATAATAAATAACAAAGACTGCCATTCCGTATTGAAAAATATTACTAAGTAAGTTTTATGAAACCTTATTAAATTGACATTTTTTTTTATTTACACAATTATAATTTTAAATAATTGTTGGTATGTTTGTGAAAGTTATTTTATATGAAATTTTTAGAACAAATCAATTTTTAAAACCTTTATTGTTATCCGGTAAAGTTTGGAAAATAGAAAAAGCTGGATGTTCGATGGAAGAATTGGGTAGTCTTGTTCATACCGAAAACCTTTTAATCCAACTTTTAAGTTCGATAGAAAATAAAATTAAAGAAGACGTTTCATTAGCGGTACCTTTTTTAATAAAACCTGAGTATGTAAAAAGAATAATATAGATAAAAAAGTACCATTTTAATAAAAAAAAAAAATTAAATTGATTGTTTTTTCTTACAGAAATTTTGAACTTTTATGCAAATTATTAATTCAACACGAAGCCATGAATGTTATATTAAAAATATTTAAAGAAAATCCATTAGAAGAAAAAGTTTTAGCAACCATCATCAGATTACTTTATACATTCCGTCAAAATTATTACAAACCCGAGTGTTTTTTTAAAGGTTTCGGCGAGAATATGGCGTGCGATGATGATTTTATAAATTTACATAATGTAAACGATGAGGCCAACGTGAATACGAATTTAAATTTAACGAATGAATTAGTCACGTTTGAATTAGACGATGGAAAATTCGTAACGGCTAATAAATCATTACTTTGTAATCATTCCCCGGTAATAAATTCCATGTTAAACGGTCATTTTATCGAAGCCAATCAGGAAAAAGTCAGACTACGAAAATGTTCGGAAAAATGTTTTAATTTATTAGTAAGTGCAACTACTTTGTAAAAAAAAATAATAATTTTAACGAAACGTGAAATTATTTAAAATTAATACTTTTATTTTCGCAGATAAAACTTTTACTTAACGAAGCAGACTTGACGACGATCGATGTTAAAATTTATTTAGAATTATTATCGATAACGGATAGATTTTTACTTAACGACATAAACACGATATTAACGAATAATTTGAAAATCGATAAAACGACTTGTTCTTCCGTTTACGAATGGTATCGTAAAGCTGGTTACACGAAAAATAATTCAATCATACGTCAAAAAATCTACCAATTTTTATTCACATCGTCGGAAAATTTATTATCGGTTTTGAAAAATAACGAATCGTGTAAATCCGCGCTCGTAAATGATATATATCAATATTTTTCTAAAGTTTTAAAAGATTTCATTTAATCATTTATTTATTTATTTTTAAAAAATCAATAATCCACGAATAATAATAATAATATTAATTTAATTTATATTTAAATCGATATTTATATTATAATTTTAATTTTTATATTTTATTTTATAATTAAATCGATCGAGAGAAAAAAAAAAAAAATTGTAATGTGATTATAATAAAAAGCATAAAAACTATAAAATATTTGTCTAATTATCGTATTTATCATAATTAATAACGGAATCATGGTTTTTTTTTTGCTATTGTTCATAAAAAGAACTAATCGATTAATAAAAGACTATTTATATATATTGATACGGTCAAAAGTTTTTTTTTTATATACATTTTTATCAAATATTCGTATTTATTTATTTATTTTTTTTTTTTACTTTTACAATATTAAAAATAAATAAATAAATTATCATTGTTTACGATAACTAATTCTATTTTTTTTTATAATTTAATTAATAATATATATATAAATATATATTTCGAATGCATTGTAAAGAGTGTCAATATTTTAATTAATCGATTGAAATGATTGCAAAATAATGTTGCAAATTAACAACAATTTATGTATATATACAAAAAATTTATATATTAAATAATCGAATTATCAATAATCGTAATAATAATAATAATAAATAATCAAATTTTTTTATAAATTTATTATTAATTTGTTATTAAGAAAAAAAAAAAAAAGAGAAAAGCGTATTAATTAAATAAATATATATACAGACATTTAAAAAAAAAATAAATAAATTTTTTTTTTTCTTTGTAAATCCATTAATCATTTTCTTATCAATTTATACGTTTAATTCATTATATCCGACATCGTCGGTCACGTGACTAAAAATTTAAATTTTAACGACCCCGTGAAAATCGTTAAAAAAAAATTCGTATTGGCCTTTTATAAAAGGGAATAAAAAAAAAAAAAAATTACCGTGATTTACGTTGTAGGGCCATCGACAAATAATCCATAAATATTATGTGCAAGTTATAAAAGGTTTAATAAAAAGAAAAATATCACAAACCTGTCAATCCTAAAGGAAGAAGAACCATCAAATTCATCTCAATTTGTACGTTTCGAAATCGAGTTTTTGCTGAAGAATTCCACTGAGTATAAATTCGCTGTGAACAATTTTAACGGATTTGATTTGTGATGATGGCCAATGTTTTTCATCTTCCGAACACGACACGACGATAATTTCTTTACGCCATTTTTTCGGTCTGTGCGGTACGGAAATTGCTCCGCAACACTCGGCGATTGCTAAAATACAAAAATCAATCATCAAACATCATCTTTATGCGAATGAGATAAATATGAAGAATGAAAAGTCAAAAATACCCAAAATGTCTTCGACCGGAGGCGTAACGTTCGGCGTGGCAAATACCGTAAAACCATTTAAAATTTTTTGTCTCTTCGATTTTTCCAAAGTCGTTTCCAAATTGAAATTCCACTTCTTTTCAGATTCTTCGCATTTTAAAATAAAATGCCACGGATTTAAAAATTTATTTGATTTTTTACACTCTTGTAACCAACGTGGAGAAGTTATTGGTATCGATAAACCGATGGCACATAAAAATTTAATAGTTCGCCTAACTTTATCCGTTATTAAAACGTGGCACTTTGTTATATCGTTTGTTTTATTACCACCTAAATTAATAATAATTTTATCCAAATTACAATTATCGAAACCGGTGAATGCAATATTGAGACGTGGATTTTGATCGTGGATTCCGTTAAAAAAACGCGAATGTCTTAAATGTCGAGTTTTCCAAGAATCTTTTTCCGACGATTCTGATTCCCCGAACAGTTTATTTGTTTTCGAAGTGGCCGCCATTTTTATATTTTGATCTATGCTTAATAATTTTCCTTCTATTTTTGATTTTTTATAATTTTTGAAGATTTCATCATCATCATCATCATCGCTGCTATTTCTACGTTTCAACGGACTTTTTTTCAAATTTTCAACTGAACAATTACTTGTTTTTAAATTGAATAATTTTTTTGTTTTTAAATTACAATTCCTTAAATACTCATTCTTATTTGTATTTTTCAACGGATTTTTTTTTTCTTCTTCTTCTTCTTCGCTGTTGGAAAACGAAGAATTGTTTAATAAAAATTTATTTTTATCAAAATTACTCTCGTTTTCATTTCCGGTTTCAAAACTTGTATTTTCTTTATTTTCCTTTGTTTTTTTATTCATTTCCGAATCGACGTTTAATTTATGACTTCGTTCGAAAAAATTTATAAAATTATTTTTCAATTCTCGAAATATTGAAGATTTTTCATTGATTAAATTTTTGTAATAATTTGAAGTTTCATTTGTGGCAGTTTTTCGCACTGAATCGTGTAAACTAAATTCAGGTTTTTCATCATTACTGCTTTCGATGGGTAAAACATCATCAATAACTTCTACATTTGTAATTTGATTATTTTTATTTTTAAAATCTTTCGATGTTTCCTTATCTCCAACATCATTTTCTGGATTAATTTGAAATACATAAGAATCATTACTGTCTTCACTATTATTTTCAGATTCTAAATAAGTTTTGCACACCTCGAGTGGTTCATTTAAATTTTTTTTAATATTAGAATGAATTAGCTGAATATTTTTTATAATTGGAGTGTCTTCAATTAATTCTAAATCAGATAAAGTATTATCATCATCATCATCATCGTAATCAGGAGTTTCTGGAACCACAAAATTTTTATTCGAAGGACTTTTAATATTTTTAAATGAATTCACTAAGGCACAGGAGGTGGTTGATAGTTTTTGATGGCACAATTTATTTTCATAATTTGTCTCGATGAAATCTTGCGATGATTCAAGACTAGTTGGTAAAGAATTTCCAACCAAATCAATGTTTTTTTTTGCATATCTATTATGAATGTTTACAAAAAATGATTCTTTTTTGTTAACATTTGGAGACGAAATAAATGATTCGCTGCTATCACTGTCATAACCATTACTATAATCTGTTGATTTTCGATTTAAGGATATGTTTATAATTTGACTTAAAGAATTATTCAGTAAGTTTTTTTCCACTTCAGACTTATTATTCTCTATTGACCTTTTATTAAAGGAAGAATTTATAAGATTAAATTTATTAAGTTCATTAGAGTTTTGTAGTGTTATCTCAAGATAAGATTGAGTATCATCACTTAAATCATCATCACTCGCAGAAGAAGTTAATTTATTTTCACAGTTTACACCATCATTTTTATCTTTTAAATCTTTGCAAGTACTTTCACTGTATTGTAAAAAATAATCTTTATCTGAAGAAACTGATTTACAGTCATTTTTAATATGCCTTTGATCATTATTATTTTCACTAATAGCTTCATGCATTGATTTTTCTGAAAGGTTTATAACTTTTAAACTCTTTTGAAAATTTTCAGCACTAGAATTATTTTTTTCAATACTTTCGTTCTCATTTACTATTTTACAATTATGAACCACCATATTTGAAGTTTTATTATTTGAGTATTCTTCTTGGGTTTCCTCATTAAAAATTAATTTAGATGAAACAAAATTTTCTTTTAGTAAATTCTTTTCCTCCATTGTCCTTTGCGAATTTCTATCAATTATAAATTCGTTTTCATTAGTAACTTCATTAGTTTTAGTATTTTCATTGCAAACATATTCATTAGTTTTTTCAGAAAATGTATTTTTTAATAATTCTAAACAACTATTTTTATTTTTATCTGTTTGATTCAATAATAAATTTTTTTCTGAATCTTTTTTATTGATTAAAAAACTTTTTTCTTTGATAATCTCTTTGTCATTTGAAGTTACTAAGTTTTCTTTTGAATCTTTTTGTAACTTATACTGACTTTCATTATTAGAGAGCATTAATTTTGGACATTGTGTTTCTAAATTAAATATATTCTCATCAATTTCAGAATTTAAACTATGGTCATTAGATAAAGTAAGAGTCGTACTCTTATCCTTGTTTATTTTTTTTTGAGTAGATTGAAATTCTTCATTACAATTGTGAGTTTCTTTACAAGTAAAATTCTCTAAGTTTGAATTCAGTTTCTCTGTTTGACATTGTGAATTACTTTGATGGGTAATTAAATTTTCTGTTGTTTTTGAAAGAGTAGGATTAGGGATGATGTCGTCCAGCGACTTAAAAATTTCAACTTGAGTTTCAAGATCAAAAATAGTTTTAACATTTGAAGTATTATTACCTGTAATTGATCATGAAGTTCTATTAATACCACTACTTGTAGAACACATTGTTCAAAATATATGTAATTTATTTACCTGGTTGTTCTACACTTAAAACTTTGTTGAAAATATTATTGTTAGATAAAGTGAATGGTACAATAAACTTAACGATTAAATTTCCAAACATTATAGAACATCCATGCTCCAATTTATATCTAACATGTGGTTTTAAGTAAATCTAAAAAAAATTTTGATTATAAATTTGAAAAGGCAAAAAACTTACATTGAAATTTTGAATAAGAAGTTGTGTGTCAAACCTTTCCAAGTTTAGTGCGATTTGTACTACCCACATCATATATAAAAGTACTATCAATTCCTTCACTCTCAATTACACAATGAATTTTTGATATCGTATCATTTTCCAATACAATAGAACATAATTCGGCATCGCGGCCTATTTTAGAAGAACCTTTTCTCACTTCGTGCAAAGATGTTTCCGCGATAATTAATCCTACCAGTCCACATAAATTACTTTCAGAAGACTCATTATTTGAAAAATTGTCTGGCAAGATTTGGGTTGATGACATTATGAGTGATAATAAACTTGATTCGCTTATAAATTGAAATTTACCATTTTTGATAAATAGTATATCGGTAACTACTTCCTATATAAGTAATTTATATAAATAATAACGAATTTAGCAAAGTATATTTTCGGCCTTTGAAAAGATATTTTAAAAAACCATGAGACAACATTTTTTTAATAAATTTTTTTCACATTTTTATTCACAATTTACTAAATAAGTTAATATTTACGTACATAAAGTATTCGTTTACACATATGATTGGCGGTTAAATTAATGACCCCAACATTATTGCCAATAGTAACGTCATAAATTATCAGTAGCACCAACTTAAATAACTTCTTAGAAAGAAATTCTCATACTTTACTTATAGCAGATTCATATGTACCTTTTAAACATTAAAATCAAATTATTTTAATTTTATATTTAAAAAATGAAATAAATATTTAAAGTATTTATTTAATTTTTTTTTTTTTTTTTTGATGCAGACTTTTAAAATATTCACAAAAATATTTGAATATGCTGTTACAATTATATATGAAATGTACTTGGGTTTATTGATATTAATTGGGATTCCAGGTAGTGGAAAAAGTACATTAGCTTCAAAACTTAAAAGTCAATATAACAATTTTAATAATATTTCTTATTATTTTATACATATTTGCTACGACAAAATTATTCCCTTTACTTTATTCAAACAAGAAAATGAATGGAAATCATTGAGAAAAAATTTAGCTTCAGATATTGAAAAACTTATCCATGCTTTAAAATCTAAAAATATGAATTTAATTCCAACAATATTTGTTAATGATTTGAAAAATTTAAAGTTTTTAGAAGAAAATGTAGTATTAATTATAGATGATAATATGTACCTTAAAAGTATGAGGTATACACTTTATCAAATTACTAAAAAAAATCAAATAGGTTTTTGTGAAGTATTTTTTAATTGTTCACTTGAAAAAGCTTTACAGAAAAATAATGAAAGACAATCTGATTCAATTGTTTCACCAGAAATAATTGAAAGAATGTTAACTCAAATAGAAGTGCCTAATAAAAAAAATGCCTGGGAAAAATATTCGTTATGTATTAATTCGTTCAGTGACATCAATGAATTTCACACTGATTTATTTACAATATTGAATAACTCGTTGTGCAATCCAGAAAAAATTTCATTTGTTAGTTCAAAAGAAAAGCAATTATCTCTCTTACAATGTCAAACAAATATTATACATCAAGCAGACATAGCATTAAGAAAAATTGTCGGAGAAGAAATTAAAAAATTATCCAATGTTACACCTGCAGAAAAAAAATACCATTGTTTAAAGTTAAATGAAAAAAAAGTTGACATCCTTGCTGACCTTAAGTCAGGAGTAATATTTTTACCAACAAAAATTGTGTCAGAAATTAAAAACAATGAAGAAAAAAAAGTATTATTAAAAAACTATTTAGCAAGTTATTTTTAAAAATTTAAATACTTATTATATACTTTTGTATTTAAATTAAAATACACAATTGTTGAAAAAAAAAAATTCTTATTTTAATGAAAATAACAAAAATTTAAATATATATATATTTTTTTTTTTTTACTTATTATAAATGTTTTAAGTTTAATAACAAATATATTGAATGATTTACAATTAAACAATCATCATTATTACATTAATTAAATCCTAAATTTTACATTTAACTTTAAGTACACATAATTGAATAATCCTAATCGTAAATAAAGGTGTTTATTTCAAAATGTCTTTTCTTTTTTTTTTAAATAAATCATTTAAATACTTAAAACTAGCGAGATCGAGTGATATTAAATTTAACTGATATGAATAATACTTATATATATATATATATATCCTGTATTTGGCACAATCGAAAAACTTTCTGGCACTGCATTTATTCTTATATGATTAACAATAAGATTTAAACTTTGTAACTAAAATAATAATTACAAAATGAAATAGAAAATAAAATTGCATGCACAGAATTGTGCCTTAATATAAATTATAGATAGGCAATTGTTTTTAAAATTAATTTACATCAAGTAAGACACAGTTAAATTTCAATTGTTATTAATTCCATTTTTAAAAGTATTTTTAAAAAAAACTTTACAATTATTCATTTAAATAAATTATTAAAAAATAAAAATAAAAAAATAATGATTTTTCTGAACTAAAATTAAAAATATCTTTACAATTACAAATAATAATGTGATGTTTTTCTATAATCTGAAGCAAATTTTCAATTTTATTCTTTTTAAACAACATATATACCTAATATATATATATATATACCTTATATATACCTGATATCGATAGTCAATTGTATAGTAGTAGTAGTTTTTTTTTTACATTTAAAAATAATTTATGGTAGAAAAAAAATTTTTATAAAATTATTTATAAATATAAATTAATAATTTTAAGTGTACCTTAAAAAAAAATAATTTCTTAATAATAATTAATTAATTAATTACAATTTAAAAAAAAAAAAATCATAATGTTCAGTCGACCTTAAAAAATTATAAAAATAAACAAATGACGACATACGATTAAAATTATTTTTTAAAGCAAATTATTATTATTATTATATAAAATAGTGCAATATTAATAAAATCAATTTTATTTTATTTTTTTTTGCAAAGTGTAAAATAAAAAAAAAATTAAAATAAAAAAATTATTATAGTAGGCTTTAGAGAAAAAGTATAATATTATTCTTATAACTTATGTAATCACGATATATTTAAAGCTATAAATTATTTTGTGTTTTACCTTTTTTTTTTATTCGACTAATATCCATTTAATTTTTAATTTTTAAAGAAAAACTTTTTAATATTAACTTCAAACCAAAAAAAAAAAAATTCAACTATTGTCATTTCGATGACAAAACTTGTTGAAATATTTAATAAAATACTAAAAAAATTAATTATTAAGTTTGCCTATAATTCCTGTAATTATTATTATCATTATTTTTTTTTCATACTTTAATTTAATATGCTATATATAATTTTTTTAAATAAAAACTTTTAGTATACAAAATGTGTGCAAGACTACTTAATGAAAATTTGAACACAAACTTATTTTCTACTAAAATTTAAAATCAAATTTAAAATTTTTAATATGATTAAAATATAATTCACTCGATAAAATAAATTTTTGATCTGTGATATATAAAATTCATTAACAAAAAACATTCGATTCAAAAAAAATATAAAAATTATTTTTCAATGAATCTTTATTATAAAATTCCTGTTTTACTATTAATATATATATATATATATATATAATAAATGATATGCTAAATTATAGCTTTAAAATGATATAGACTAGTTTTATTGTTCCAATATTGAATTTGATGTAACGATATTATATAATGTATGATATATCAGTAAACTTTATCACATCATATTTTAGTTTTTTTTGATATTTGTTAATTAATTCATTATTTAAGTAATTTAATATATATATATAAATATTCTGGCAGTACTGTACTAAAATAACCTATAAAATTTTTTTTAAACTCAATACATTACTTTATTTAAATCATTGCCAGTAGATTTTCATTTAAATTATGTTTCGAGATTACAAGGGTATTGTAATGTATTATAATAACCAGACCCTTACAGATTTTTTAAAGTAATCAAGGAATTAAGATACCTAATGTCAAACCCAAACACCATGAGGATTTTTACTGGTAGGTACAGCATTTTCTAACTGTCTAGGAGACCCTATCATTTTCCTAGTTATTCCAGGCTTGTAAGGGCCTTCGACAATATGTTTTAAATCTTCTGGAGGAGCTATAACTAAACTTTGTAAATTTGCTTCTTTCATTTCGTTAATTAATTGTTCTAGTTGACGTTTACGATCATTAATTACAGATTCCAATAAAGAAACTTCTCTCTTTAAATTTTCACTGCATTGTGCTGAAATGTCAGTTGCTTCCTTGGCTTGTTCTATTTCATTTTGAAACCTTTCTACTTCATTTATTAGTGTTCTCTCCAAATGCAGCCTTTCATCGCTTTCTTGCAATGCTGCCATTCTTTCCATTTGAAGATCATCCATTAGTAACCTAGATATTAAATATTGAATATTTAAGTCAAAGAATTTGGTAATAAAAGGAAAATTGTAGGAATAAACTCTAAAAATCATTTTAAAAGCATTATCTTAGAAATATTTTTTACAACATTGAAAAATATTGATAATATAAATAACTTAAAAGGCTGATAATTTGCAAAAAAAAAAAAAAAAATGATAAAAATAAATAGATTAGAGAAAAATTTTTTTTTAAATACTCATTTGAAAATTCATAAATGCAAAATTTAAAGTAAAATTTATACTGCATAAGCTGCAGAAATTAAAGTGAAAATAAATTCAAAATAAAATCGACCCCCAAAGAAAAAACTTACCTAATTTTATTTTTGCATTGCAACAGTTCAGTTTCACAATTTGCTAATTTAGACCTTAAAAGTGATATTTCCGATTTTAGGGTTTTTTCTTGCTGCCTAACAATTTCAAATTCTTCTTCAGCATGAGCTAAAGTTCTTAAATGATCTTCATTTTGCCTACTGATATTTTCAATTTTAATTTTTTCTTGAGTAATATAATCTATTTGATGTTGCTGTTCTTTAGTTTTTGCTTCCCAATAAATTATTTCTGCATCAAACTGAAAATTAAATTTTTCAAATTTATTTTAGTGACAAAAATTTCATTATGTATATTAAAGAAAATAGACTTCAAATGAAAAATAAATAATTAAAAAGAAAATTACTTAATTTTTTAGGCTAATTATTTCAAATTTTAAAAACTGGTGTCTTTTAATACAAATTTTTAAGAATTTACAATCATAAAAGTATATTTTAGATTACCTTGGTTAGCTCACACTGTTGTGCTGATAATTTTTCTCTTTGCAAGTTTACTAGCCTAACAAGATCCCTATATTGAGTGTTACACATTATTGATTCCTGAAATGACATTTCCCCTGATGAGGAGTGGGAGGATTGAAAATCTTTGACTAAATTTCTTTTGGGCTTTGGAATTTTGCCACTCGATTGAGATATTACACTACTATTTGAGCTTGGTGATGTTGATCTAGTTCCACTTGAAATACTTTTACTAGGACTTAAAGTTGGAGGAGGAGGATCTCTATAAGGAGGTAAAACTCTTTGATGTGATGAATTTAAATTATTTACAGGCCCAGGAGGATTTCTGTAAGGTGGAGCTTCTCTCTTCAATTGAGCAGATTGATAATTTGTTAAACAATTATCGGTTTTTGCAGATGATGGGTTGTAGATATTGTCATCATATTTTAATATTTGCCTCGAGTCTTTATTTTCAAAATCATAATTTTTCTGGGGTATTCCTTTTACTATACCTATATTGTCAGTTTTCAGCTCAACAGTCTCTTGTGATAAAATATTTCCACCTAAACTTAATGACTTTTTAATATCTTTATTTTTGTCTGCAGGTTTAGAAATATCTTGATAAAAAGATGATCCATGATTATGCATAGCATCAGTTACAACTGATTTTTGCTTAGTTTGATTATCACTAACTCCTACTTTATTGTCATCTAAATGAGAGCGTTGCAAAACAAACTGAACATCGTGAGAATATTTGCCCCATTTCATCAGAATTTTTAATGGATGATCTTGAGGTGAAAGCAGACGTTCATTGCTTCGCCATCGTTCGTTTAATGTAAATCGCCCAGTTTTGCCAGTTGCATGAGCAAGAGCATAAACTACATCCTGGCAAGTAGTTTGTTCAGTAACACCACAAACTATTCTTTGAATGCCCTCAACCCAAACCTTAAGTTCCATTTTCGGAAATATGTATTTTTCGTAGTATAAATTTCACCATAGTATGGCACTACTTTTTAAGAAAAAACCCAGTTGTGATTTTTTCGTAATTTTTCAGATGTTTATGTTTCTGTGATTTTTGCCCATAATAAAAATAAATCTTAATCATCACTTAGTTTTAACAGTAACTATTTTAAAAACAATAAAGATTCACATAATTTTAAAATTAAGTAACACACAGATGCAATTCGAACAAACAAAACAAAAAGATTTCTATCTCTAAAGCAGACGTGTCACTGCCTTCTATAATAGAGTTTTTTCATTTTCTACCAGTTATTGTATGTTTTAATATTTTTTTTTTTTTTGGAGAATCTATTATCATTTTTAGAAATATATTTGAAGAAAAAATATTGTATATTATAACAATTATTTATCATTAATAGTTGAGAACTATTTATTCTATTATTAAGGTGAAAATTAATTGTTAAGTTGGTACTCTCAATCATAATGGCAAACCAATTCTCGTTCGGATTATTATTGTGGCGGATGAGATAAATATTTAAGTGTATTAAATTGAGCCCATTATCAGTATGAGTTTAAATGAAGGTTTATCTTTGAATGTTGATTCCGATTTGCAACAGTTTCTTGAAATCGAAACTCAAAAAAGGCGCTTTGAAGTAAGATTAATAATGATGACTAATTACTTTTCAAATAAAATATTTTCAGACTTACTTTTCAAATACTGTAAAATATTTTAACTTTATTTACAATCAATTTTTAAAAAAATTATGTATTTATTTAATAAAATTTTGTTTAGAAAAGGTCATTTTCAAGTACTCGTTTTTAGTTTACATTACTTTAAAATGTTCTACGTCATGAAATTGCGGCTGTTGCAAGGCACGCCACCCATGAAGTAGAATGTCTCAACTAAATAGTATTAAAATAATTTGTTTAAAAATTTTTATTAGATTAAAGTGTCACTAAATGATTTTTTTAAATACAGCGTAAAAACGTTTTTTTTTTTAGTGTGTATTTTTAGAAAAAATAAATTTTATTTGACGTAATCAAACCTTAGGACTTTGGAACTAAAAAATATATATATTTTTTTTGAATATTTAAAAAAAATTCATGCTTCTTGGTGCTAACTCATAATTGCATGGGTAGTTTTATTATGATTTTTTTCTTACACACATATATATATATATAATATTATATATTTATATATTAAAAATATATTATTTATTTTATTAATTCGCCTTAATTTTTATATTTTAGTTTCTTGTACATGGACTGACAGATAGATGTTGGGATTTATGCATGGGAAAAGTAAGTGCAAGACTGGATGGCAAAACTGAAGGCTGTCTCACAAACTGTGTTGAACGTTTTATTGACACTACAAACTTTATAGTTAACAGATTAGAGAAAACTCAATCAATAGAAAGTTCATCATCCTTTGAATAAAATGTTTACCAGATTTAAAAATTTTTTTTCTCGTCATAGAAATAAATTTATAACGGGAGGTATATTAGTAGGAGGAGTAGTACTGTTTTCAAAATATGCTCAAAAAGTTAAAGAATGGCAAGAAAAAGAAGCAAAGGAGTTTTTAGAAAGAGCCAGAAAACAACAACATTATGATAGTATAGAAAAAACATGCAATTTAACAGCAATGACATTGGCTTCTACATTAAAAGAAGTTATTATAAAATTAATAAAATCTGAAGAACTTATACAAAAGTTACAATCAGGAGTTAAAAATAGAGTTGAGCTTTGGGAAGAATTAAAAATTTTAGCTTTCTCTAAATTGGTGATTTTATTGTATGCACAAGCTATATTAACAGTGACTTTAAGAATTCAACTTAATCTTATTGGTGGTTACATGTTTCGCTACACAACTGATGATTCAGAAGAGAATAAAATTACTAGTAATATGCAAGAAAAATATTTAGGGTTATGTCAGTTTTTTATTGAAGAAGGAATTCATAAGTTATGTGATGTAATTAAAGAAAAAGTAAAAGTAGTTCTTGAAAAAAAATCATTAAAGGAAAAATTAAGTTTAAAAGACATAGAACAAATATTTTGGGCTGTTCAAACTTCCATTAGCAATGATGACAGAGATCCTTGCAAATCATTGCCAGATTATGTTCTTCCTAATGATTTGAGAAGAATTTTGTATGTCCCTGATTTATCTGTTTTTGACAATATAATTGTTGAAACTCATGATATATTAGAAAGCGAAGAAATAATTCATTTGATTAAATCATGCATTAGTCATGGATTTTGTTATGTTACTGATAAAATATCTCAATATTACAAAGAAAATGATTCTTTAAAACAAAAAACAGATTTTGCTAATCCAGTGCCTACTACATCTTCAAGTTTAGACGCTAATTATGTCTTAAATTTAAATGCTGTTACAATTCCAATGGCTAAAATAATTCCCCTTGTTAATGGTTTTGTTCAGAATCAGACTAAGAAAGATGATGTTCCTCATGCTTGGATACAGCAACTTATTTTGATGGATTCATTAAAAGTGATGGGTGCAAATATTTATGAAACATTTAGCAGTAAAAAATGAACAAATAAAGATTTATTTTTAAAAATATAACAATAATTATTAATAAAAGTAAATTGCATTTTTAAAAATATGTTTACAGGCTTTATTTCATTTTCCAAATTCTTTATTGTTCCTTAATTATTGGGGTAAGAACTTTTTAGTAATTAACTTATTAATAAATTGAATAAATTTTAGGCAATTAAATTTTGATGTTACAATTAAATAAAATAAACTAAAAAGAAAATAATATTGATATTTCTGGGAAATAAGTTTTGTAATTTTTATTACACAAGTATTGAAAATACCATCAGGTAAGTTTTTATGACAAAATCTTAAAGTTTTTTTTGTTTTATAATTTATATTAAGGATCAATTTTGTAATAGTTAAATTATAACGCTTTTAAATATTTTATCTTCTGCCACGGCATGTACTGCATTTAAGTTGATAGGTTAAATGTTACTAAAATAATTCACTTAAGTATCTATTCCAATGATGCAGTCTGATATACCTCAGCAACCACAAGAAAAATTAGATAATATATCCAAAGTAAAATCGCTAATATTGCCTCTGAGAGAGACACTGTCTTTAACTCTCAAAACGGCAGCACAAGCATTGCATCAAAACAGTTTAATAGATGCAGGTTCTACGTAAGTCTATTTATTTAATGTATATTCATTGGCTAAATTTATTTTGTTTTGCATAAATTAAAAAAATTTGTTTTCTTATAGTAAAGGCGTTGATGCTGTAGTTCCAAGGTTTGATAAAAATTTAGAAGAATTTTATTCTATTTGTGATCAAATTGAATTGCATTTAGTAAGTACTTAAGAAAAATAACTTAATGTTTATAATAAAAAATTTTTTTTCCGATTTGTTTAAATTTAAATTTTATTATAAAGGATTTTAAAATAGTTTAATTATTCTATTTTTACTTATTCTAGAAAACGGCTTCAGAATGTCTGTCTCAGGGATCAAGCAGTGCTAGGTATCTTCAATTACCTGTAGCTCCAACTCGCACTGAACCGATTGCTTTTCAGGATGCAAATGTCCTTACTTATCCTCAATATTTAGCCACTGTTAGAACTCAAGTTGCATATGCCAAGGAAATTCATGACAGTTTGACTGCCAGTGCTCAAACAATTGCACCTCCAGAATGAATGTTATTAAAACTATTATTTATTATCTTATTTACTATGTATGATAGTAAATAAGATAAATAAAAGAAATATATAAAATAACTATAATTATTCACATAAGTTTGTGCTGTATTTATAAAATGTAATATTAATTTATATTTAATATTTATTTAATTACCATGATTTTGGAAATAAAAAAAATCTTGTAATATATAAAGTTACTCATATTTTGGCTTAAAAATTTTTTCAAATTACTTTTAAAATTATCAGAAAAATGATTATTTTTTAAATAAGCGCAATTTTTAATTTTGCAGAAATAATCTCAAAAAGTAACAGGATTTGTGGGTATTAGTTTTTGAATGTCGTGTCATTAGATAATATGTTTACATATCGTTGCACTTTAGCTTCAGAAGAAGATGGATTATGATTTTAAATTTAAAACTGCAAATGAAAGAGCAAAAGTTGAAGATTTATTTGATTATGAAGGTTGTAAAGTAGGCAGAGGAACATACGGACACGTTTATAAAGCTAGAAGAAAAGATGGGTAAAATATTTTTTTACTAAATGTGTTACCGGTATTTTTGAATGGTCTTCTTTTTTTTTTTTTTTTTTTAAATTAAATTTAAGCTTTTTACCATGTGATTTTTAATTTCCTGGTTTAATTTTACAAAATGAAATTAACTTAGAATTTAAAGAAGTTGAAAATTAAGTTTTTCAAATGTAATATTTTTAGGTAATTAGTTTAAAATTTAAAATTTTTAAATAAATTCTAGGTCCGATATGAAAGATTACGCTCTAAAACAAATTGAAGGAACGGGATTATCAATGTCCGCTTGCCGGGAAATAGCTGTGAGTTTAATTTTTTAAATAAATTTATTGATTTGTTTTCAAATAATAAGAATTAAAAATTTCTTTTAATTATAGTTATTGAGAGAATTAAAGCATCCAAATGTAATTAATTTAATTAGAGTATTTCTTTCTCACAATGATAGGAAGGTTTGGCTTTTGTTCGACTTTGCTGAACATGATTTATGGGTAAGTTAACAGTTGTGTTGCTAAGTTTGCTTATTAATTTGTAAATTAATTATTGAATAACTTTTTTTTCAGCATATAATTAAATTTCATAGAGCTGCCAAAGCAAATAAAAAACCTGTCATGGTTCCTAAAGGTATGGTAAAATCTCTATTGTACCAAATATTAGACGGAATTCATTATCTTCATTCGAACTGGGTATTGCACAGAGATTTGGTTAGTTTTATTTAGATCAAATCAAGTTATTATTTATTGAAACAAATCTTTTAATTAATTATTTTGTTAAAATTTTAGAAACCTGCCAATATTTTAGTTATGGGAGAAGGTCCGGAAAGAGGAAGAGTAAAAATTGCCGATATGGGTTTTGCTAGGTTGTTTAATGCACCTTTAAAACCTTTAGCAGATTTAGATCCTGTTGTTGTTACATTTTGGTATAGAGCTCCAGAATTATTATTAGGTGCAAGACATTACACCAAAGCTATCGGTATGCAATAATTATCTCTTTTTTTTTTTTTTTTTTTTTGTGTGTAAATCATAATAAATGTAAAGTTATTTAAAATGTTTGATTTTAGATATATGGGCCATAGGATGTATATTTGCTGAGTTATTAACTTCTGAGCCAATATTTCATTGTAGGCAAGAAGATATAAAAACCAGTAATCCTTATCACCATGATCAATTAGATAGGTACACTTATTTAAATCCTTTTCAATTTTGAATATTTTTTTTTTTTTTAAATTAATATTTTTTTTTATATTTATTTATTAGGATTTTTAATGTAATGGGTTTTCCATTAGAAAAAGACTGGGAAGATATTAGAAAAATGCCTGAATACCAAACCTTAGTTAAAGATTTTAAAAAATCAAAGTATGTATTACAAATAAATTTTAAATTTACTTTAAATGTTAATAAATTTTATTTTCAATAACAAATTGTAATAATTTACTTTTTTTTTTTTTAGTTATTCTAGTTGTTCTTTAGTCAAATACATGGATAGACATAAAATAAAACCTGATAGTAAAGCTTTTCATTTGGTGAGTTTTAAAAACTTATTAATATATTTTGTTAATAGATTGCTAAGGAAATTTTATAAATATTAAATATGTTTTTCTTATTATTGTTTATTAATGACAATTTAACAAATTAAGTCTTTTTAAAAAATGGTTTTTGTTGTTTTTTAGCTGCAAAAATTATTGCTCATGGATCCCACAAAAAGAATTACTTCCGAACAAGCCATGCAAGATTCATATTTTAGCGAAGAACCTACACCAACTGCAGAGTAAGAAATTTTTAACTTTTGCAATTTATATCAGAACTTTTAGTTTAATTCATGTTTTGATTATTAATCGTTGAAATGTTTTTTTTTTTTTTTTTTTTTTTTTTTTTTTAATTTAAGTGTTTTCGCCGGATGTATGATTCCTTATCCAAAGAGAGAGTTTTTAACAGACGATGACCAAGATGAAAAATCAGATAGCAAAGCCAGACAAAATGCAGCTGCCAACGTAAGTTATTTTTTTTTGAACATTTAAAAAAAAAAAAAAAAGTTTCTTCGTAAAAGTGTCCCTATGTGAAATCAGTTTAATCATTCAGCTGCTATTAAAAAAAAAAAGTTAGTCACAATCCGATCTACATAATGTAGCCATATTCTATTTCCAGGTTAAAAAAATCGCTATAAACTGGTTCCCAATATATCGAATAAAATTCAATACTCGACAATTATTTTTCAATTGATTTTTTCATATTGTTTTGTTTAGCAGCAAACAGCTCAATCCAATCAATCGGATGGTCCAAATGCTAAAAGAGTACGGTTGCAACCTCCACCGTTGGTGAGCACTTCCCAACAATCTCAGGGTCAGGAGTTTCATCATGTAAATACTCAACAGCAAATGGTATTCACATCGGCAGCCAGCACTCAACAGAGTAATTTTCAACAAAGGTAAGTTTTTTTTTTTTTTTTTTACAACCAATATAACAAAAAAAAAAAAAAAAAAAAAAAAAAAAAACTTTAAAGTTTATGCGCATTATAAATATTTATTTTTTATTTTTTACAAATGAACTGCACATTATATATATTATGAATTTTTTGGTTATTTATACTATCCCGATAGGCTTTATCAGGCATCTAATGTAGGAGCTGGTAATACGTGAACTTGTCGAGATTTGCTGGCACTGTAAACTTGTCCGGGACTGAAAGATTCTAATCTAGGACGATTTATCTCTTGTCTTGTGGAATCTAAAACGAAATATATAATACAATTTTTTTTTTGTATTAATTTTTATTTATATATATTTACTAAATGATTAATCCTTTTAATGTTGTGAATACCTTTGTCGACTGCAGGAATATATTTTGAAAGTCTAACTACTGGCAAGGGAAGGAAACCTTGAGATAATGGCATCACCTCAAGGGTGATGTTTTGCTTTGAGCCTTTATCCAAAGTAATCACACCTTTAAAAAAAAAAATTAATTTTTTCTACTGTTAAGAAATATTATGATCATTTAGGCATAACTTGGTTCTTTGCAAGTGTCGTTAATTCATTACCCGCGGCTCTTCCACACACGGCCCACATCGTTGAATCCGCAATAACTTCATACATTAAAGATATGTCATGGAAATTATTTGTTTCGTACGGTAATACTTCCAAATTCAACTGGCACATTGTCCCGACGCGACAAAAATCAGCTTCTTTTCCAGGTTCTAAATTGCAAGTTACTACAAATAAAGTCTGTAAATAATTTTAAAAAAACGTTAGTATAAGTACAATAGAATAAAGAGCCTGAATAAAAAAAAAAAAAAAATTTGAATAGGAGGAACCTTGTAATTTTGTAAATCAAAATGGCACTTATAATTTCGTACTTCTTGCGGTTTATCGCTATTTTCAATGTGCGGTGAATAATTCATGGAAAAATCAAGTTTTATAACATCTTGAAGATTTTGAAATTTTGATATTTCCAATTCCCACAATAATGAAAGATTTAAACCATTTTCAATAATCTAAAAAAAAAAGCTCAAGGTACAATAATAATAATAATAATAATTTTTTATAATTTGAATTTAATTTCATTTAAAATTTAAATACTTGAGATTGTCCTTTGGAAGTATTTAAAGAATTTATGATGGGTAAATCGGTATTTGTAGCCGTTAATTGAGCAGAAGTTATAACTAATCTACACGAGCTTAATCCCGTAACCGTTACTTGTAAAAATTTTCTATTTAATGCTGTGTGTAGTCTCATGACGCTTTTGAGGGGGGCGCGAAATTTGAAATCGGATGTTATTTCTTCATCGCACCATCGACATAGAAGAACCATCTTTTAATATGATAAATTAATTTATTATTATTTTTCCTACATATATATATATCATCTGTGATTTTAAAAGGACTACCTTATGATTTACATCCGCCGGATCTTTTTCTCTTTGAGGTGGTAGTTTGGCTAATACGTGAAGGGTTAATGTAACGGAATCGAAAGGTTTAACAGACGGTAACGGAATTTCCGCAACGGACGACAATGTCGAATCGTTATCCAAATTATGAGTTACTTCTAAACCTTCTGAACAATTAATTAGCAACGTCGTTCCCTTATCAAAAAAAAAAAAAAATGAAAATATTTTTTAAAAATCGTAACGTTTCACATTTAAAAATACTCTGTTTAAAAATGACAATATACCTCCTTAATGGCATAGCTTCCGGAATGAATGACTAAATTAATAACCTGAAGGAGACCTGCTAATAATTCCTTATCTTTTTGTTTTACTTCTATTGTACTTTTTTCTTTTGAAACAAAAAAATGAGGTGCGGGTGCTGGAACCGAAGTTAATAATTCTAAACCATCAAACAACATTGAAATTTGTCCTAAACGGTTTTTACCCACTTCCTTAGTCTATTATAATTTAAAAATATTTTTTCTTTACAATGTTATTGAAAACGTTTAAAGCTAAATTGTAACGTAAAATTAATGGTATAATAAAAAAATTTCAAACGTGAAAAGGCACATTACCTTCCATTTTACCGTTATTTTATTTACTCCAGGATTCAAGGTATAATTATTTGCGGAAAAACAAAGTGAAAAATCTTGACGCATGGGGACTGATATTTTCCTACCCCTTCCGTGACTATCAACCCTCCTTAAAACTTTTTGAGGGGCATCGCAAACAATATTAGCGGCGTTTAAACTCCTATCTTGCTTGTAATTTAACAATTCTATAAGAGGCAATTTTTCGAAAAAACTCGCTGCATCGTTATTACCCTTTCTGAAATTTTATTAAAAATTATAATAAATTATAAGTAATAATGTACATAGTATATAGTAATTTAGTGACAGCGTAGTAGTACATAATTCATAAATAAAACAGTACGCATTAATTATACGTAAAAGATTCGAATTGTAACTATTGACTAAAAATTTTAAAAAATTATTAACCTTCGTCCGGGTATTCTTTCATTTTTACTCGCATCCTCTTTTCCTAAAGATATAGAAACCGATTTGCAATCAATAGGTTCCGGCAATCTACTATTAAATGTTAAAATTGCATCGATTTCGCTTTCTTCTTCTTTTAATTTGTTTACTTCATCAACTGTAATCGATATTACATCTCCAATGTCTTCCAAATTTGATATCAGGCATTTATCTACATTTGAAAAAAACTTATCTATAAGTCCTTTTACAATAATAAGTATTTTTTAAAAAAAAATTATTTTCTGTATGCATTATTAATCTGTCGAATGTTTTAAGTTTTATAACTTTTTAATTTATACCTAAAAAAAACTATGTACCTGGAGATATTTTTTGTAGGGAATCTGTAAACTTGTGAAAATATTTCAGCCTAACATCAAGGTCTAAATTAGAACTAGCTATAGCAGCACAACTTGTTACATATCTGTAATAAATAAAAAAAATAATATTAATTATTTAAAATAAGTACAAATAAGTAGTTGTTTTAAATTATTTAACGACCTACTTTACATCAATAGGGAATGATTCGCAACATTCAACAATTTTAAGTTGAGTATCAGCAGCTAAAGTTGGCCAATGATCGTCTAGGTAACCACCTAAAGCTGCTGTCAAAAATGTAACAGACTTATCTGGTTCACCTAAAGCCAAATAAAATTTTGCCAAGTCTGCACCCAATAATCTGGCTGATCTCATTCTACCAATGTGCTTAAAAGTAATAAACGAAAGTTCAGACAACTCCTAAAAAATGTAAAATAATTTTTCGTGAATTTAAAATTGTCAATAAGTTCTTTAAATTCTCAATTTTCATAGAAAAATAACTCACTAAAAAAAAATTATTGTATGCATCTTTTGATGAGAGTGCTTCTTTTAATTTATCCACTGGTGTGGGTCCTGATTCAAATGTGCTAGAATCTCCCATACCACTGGATAAATTAACCACAATGTGTAATTGTTCACTTGTAGGTTGTGTGTTGGGAGTTAAACCGCATAATTGACCCAGTTCTTTAAGTTTATCTCTAGCATAAGACCACAGTCCAGCTGCATATAATGAGTAAGCTTCTACTTGAGCAGTGCCATTGTAATTTTCACAAGCATAAAGAACTTCTAAACAAACCAAAAATATCCAACATGCAATTGTGCCTTCAGGAGCAGATACTTCGAGAATATGCAGTTCATTGACACAATTGTGAAGGAAAGAAAGAGCTCTTTGTGCCATTTCCCAAGGCTTTTTTTCTAAGAGTAATAATGAGCACTGCCTTCCAAATAAATAATTACGAAATTGAAGAAGATCTAATTTTGAACATTTAATTAAGTCTCTTTGGCTTTGTGTTACTTTTTGGTTTAAAATAGGTCCAGCCCATTGTTGTAATGGCACTGTAAAACTATTTAACCACTTTGGATTTTCACCTTTTGTAGAGTTTAAAATAAACTGAGTAAATAAGGCATCAAGTTCGTCATATTGAACTAAAGCTTCTTCATACAGTCCCAACATTTCCAAAATCAATGCCAATTCTTCTTGCATTAAAAAATAATTACAAAAACTCCAGGAGGGTTGAGGCCTGCATTCTCTGTTTTTCCTGACCGATTCCTCAAATTTTGAAAGTGTTTTACTAAATGAAAGCAAAAGAAGAACACGAATGCGATTGACTAGACCTCTCCACGATTCAGCTGATTTTGATTCAGATTTGATGGGATGAATAAGTGATATAACTCTATCTCCTTGTTTTATGGCAAATTCTTGACGAATTTTATCAAGTACAGTAGTACGCGGTAATAATTTATTACTTTTTCTAATATCATACACTTCAACTAATATAATCATCCAATCGCCTCCATTAAGAGATTTTTGCCATTGTTCGATTTCTTCCTTAACATTCGATTTGTATGTGTCAAGATCCTACAAAAATTACTTATTTTAAATATGAAATAATTTTGGAAATAATTTATGTTAAACTTAAATTAAATTAGCTAACATTGCATTCAGTCCAATAAGTATGCAGCATTGGTTTGTTCATTAGCTTAAAGTCATCTGATATTGGCACTGGATCTGATGAAAAAGGTATAAATTTAGCTTCAACATGAACAGTCTTACTTATTCGTCCATATGGACGTTGCCATTCTGCTGCTTCTTTTGGTAATGCCTCAACAAGAGCTGCTTCTAAACCTTGAAACAAATTTATGTCTCCTGCATCTGTCAAAATGCAAAGTTGATATCACAAATTTTTTAATTACTGTATTATTAATAGTAAGAATGAAATATATCAATGAAAAAATAATAAAGTATAAACAAAAAATTTTGTGTTCTAATAAAATGAATAAAAATTTTTGTTCAATTAAGTGTTTTTAAAACGTAGGGGCGTTAATGACATTTAAACACTTACAGGTAATTATAGGTTTACTGTCCATATTGCACTATTGTACTAACTGACTGTTAATTTTAATTGTTATGCATTTCTAATTGAGCAAAATTAATATATTTATATATTGTACTTTAACATTATTTACAATTGAATAAATTACTTTATGAATATTGGTATTTAAAAATGAATGATTACACGTATTCATTTTCGGCTAAATAATTGTGTGAACAGAAACATACACATAGTAATTTTAATTAATTATTTCAAAAGTAGCAAAAATAAATGAAAACCGGAATCATATCAATTAAAAAAAAACACTTTATAATTATACGAGCTAAATATATCAAATAAAAATTCTAACGTAAATATACAAAAAAGATTCCATCTTTAATTTTTTTTACATTCCGAATTCACGCGGTGAATTTTCTATTTACACTTCTATCAGTACCTTTAATTTTATAAGTCAAATTTTTTTAAAATTGGAAGCCTTTACTTTTAAAAAATTTTCCATTGTAAAAATATTTTTTAATTGTGTTTCAAAATTTTACAACTTTTGCTGAAATTATTAGTAATAATCCTGTTAATAATTCAAATTTTTTTAAAAATTTATTGATGTATCATATATTTATTACATTTAGAATATTAGCAAAAGTTTTTTTTAAATTAGTTATTTTAAAAATTATTTAAATTTTTTCAAGTTTTTAAATTAAATTGAAAATAAACTTGTAGTTCTTATATTATGTTTTTAAATTTACTGCCTGCATATAGTAAAATGGTGATCATATTGTGAATTTTCAGTTTTTAATTTAAATGTGTAATATTTATTTCGACACATTTCTTAGTCAAGATTTTAATTAAAGTTTTAAGCAATCTTGCGAACAAAAAAAGAGAACAGGAAAAAAAGGTAAAATTTTTTTAACTATAATTTATTTCTAATTAAAAATGAGGTTAATGGTTTTCTTTTCTTAAAAAAAAAAAAGGATTTGAAGTCAGCTTAAAGCTAAAATAAAACAATTTTCTAATTAAAAGTAATCTTTATTATTAGAAATTTTCATAATTTTCTATTTACACTTATTATGCATACATATAAATAATGATATAGTAAACTATACTTTATACAAAACTGTTTTGTTAAATTCTGAATAATAATTTTTTTGCTTCATTTGTAAATAATACAATACATTTTAACTTATCACACAATGTACTCGTAATATTACTGTTTTAATTTTTATAAGAAATTATTATAAAATTTGCAAATGGAAAAATTTTACGTTTTAAAAACATTTTTTTTTTCAATATATTGAATTTCTTTCAACATTGAAGCTACATAAAATCTTAATTGCTGAAATTTGGCTATACTGACTTCAAAAGTTTCATTTTCTCCATTATCTAAATTAACTTGAAAAATTATAACAGTATCTAATGATTTTGCTAAAAAATTTGAAGACAGCGTAATATCAATCCTCCAATTAAAATTTTTCAATTTATGATAGTATGGAGTACCGAATTTAGATTTGCTACTATACAGATCAGGTTTACTTTCCAGAAAAACTGATATAAATCTTGTACAACATTCATCAGAAAATTTAAGTTCTTTTAAGCTTTGCTTAAGATCATTTTCTTTAACTGCATCAGATGGCAATCGAAGGATCGCTTGAATTAACATGAGAAGTCCACAAAATAAATTATCACCATTTTCAGTCAAATCTAATTTTCTTAATAAGTTGTCCAAAGCTTTGTTAGGAATCGATTTTTTTTGGATAACATCAAAAACAACTGAAAAAAATTGTAATCTTAAAAAAAAATTAATACGAATCTTACACAAACTTATACAAAAAGGTTAAATTAATCGTACGTTTAAGAAGTGGATTTAAAGCTGTAACCGGAATGTCAGGTATTATTTTTGATAATAAAATTACACCTTGAGGTATTTGCTGGTTTTGATAAATAAGATTTTCTAATACTGAAGTCATTTTATTAATTTTAATTACATGACCCAAACAAAAAATTATTACTGTCAAATTAATAACAATACATTTACTTAAACATTAGTCAGACGTGTAAATAGAATTAAGTTCGATGTAGTGGCGACAAAAAGTTTTAACTAACTATGACTTTTTCAATACGCATTTTAAAAACGGTTTTTTGTGATTTTATTAAAAAAATTGTGCATTTTAATGTTTTTATTTTAAATTATGATATTTAAATAGGATTTGCATTTATGTAGGACTTGTAAGGTAATTTTAATACATTAAATTAACTTATTTATTAAAATTTTCTTCTATCTTTTCTTTTTAATTTTAAAAACTCCCACATTTTTTCTTTTTCTCCAAAAACTTCGCCATCTTGTAATGTAGCAGGTAGATCTTTGCCCAACGTTTCTGGTAAATACAGGCAAAAAATAGCTCCGGTTATTGAAAGAACTCCTAATATTATTTGAGGGGTAGCAATCCAAAAATTGCCCTTAAAATAGAATAAGAATTATCGTTCATTATATTAACATTAAGAATTTAGAGAATCAATATTTTAAAGTAAAATATCGAATATAATTACTTTTAAAAATCAGTTATTTACGTACCAAATATAATATTTGCGAACTGAAAAATGTTGCCGCGTAACCAACAGCGTGCATCACCGCAAGTCCTTGTCCTCTAACTTGAGTAGGAATCAATTCTGCAGCATATTGAGTACCTGAATTATAGGCTATGTTTACCGAAAACCGTCCGAATAGACCAACAATGGCAGCTATAAAAACTACTTTTTTACAAAAAACTAAAACGCTTCCCTGTATAAAATTAAATAATCCAGTAAGGAGTAAAAATAATATGGCCAAAATTTTACGTCCTAATTTATCTTGCCAAATTAAAATTGTAATGCATGAGGGTAATATCGATGCCGATGTTATTGTAAAAACCGTAAAAGGATCCAAACCTAATCCTTCAATATTTCTAGAAATTGCATCGTAACAAAGACTTAGAACTATTCTAAAATAAAAAATATTTTTCCATTAAATAATTTAACACTTAATAATTTTTTAGAAAAAAATTTAAAAAAAATTTCTTACGTTTTAAAAATTAAAATGAATGTTTTACGTCTTAATTTAGGAGTTTTAAAAAGGTCCCATAAACTTGATTTTCTCACAAATGTTTTATTATTATTGACAGTAGACTAAAAAATAAATTTTTAAAATTAATAATAATTATTAGAAATATTAGTTTAAAAAAAAATTATTTTAAAAAAAGGAATTACTTTAAAATGTTCTAATAAATCCGATGGGATTTTTTTCTTATTAATACGAGCAACTTTTTTAAAACAAGTCATGGCATCATCAGTTCTTCCCACACTAAGCAACCATTGTGCACTTTCCGGTATGAAAAAACAGGATAGGGGAATAATCAGGCTCGGTATAGATATGCTTAGTAAAAAAGTTCTCCAATTTTTTGTCAAAACTGCCAACCAAGGAGTTATCATACATCCTATACAATACCATAATCCAATACAAAAATTCAAACCGAAAGTTCTCATACTGGGTTTAACATATTCCATAACTTAAAAAAAAAATTAATAACTTATTTAGTGAAAAAATTAACGATTATTTTTTTAGAAAAAGAAATTTTTTTTTTTTTTTTTTTACCTATAATATACATCATAAAAAAATTAGAATCTGATGCCAAACCGGAAATAAATCTAGCTATGCTTAAATTCCATATATTAGGATTTAAATAAACCGTCAATAAATTACCAAATACGGCCAATATGTTAGCTATGAATAACATCGGTATTCGTCCGTATATATCAGAAAGAGAACCTAATATTAGAGTACCTATTACTGAACCTATAAAAAATGTTGATTGAACGAAAGCTGATTTCCATCCATTTTCACAAATCCAATTAAGCTAAAAAAAAAATTTTTTTTAAATGTAATTAACAATCGATTCTTATTCTAAGGGCATAAATTAGTTTAAATTTAAAGGTTTGACATGAATAAAACCATTGACCTGACATTGTCTGTGTGTGTGTACTTGCTTTTAAATATGTCAGGGAAAACCGATTTGACATTACAAAAAAAAAAATTTTTAATTAATTTAAAAAAAAAAAACAAGCGCGCGCACACATAAACTTTAAATATATATAATTATATTTATTTGACGTGAATATTTTTAATATTTTGAATAATTTATATTATAAAGAAATTAGGTGGTAAAAAAAAAAATTGCCTTTTAGGATTTTTTTAAAAAAAAATGTTTTGCTTACCTCACTAGTTAACGTTTCGAATTCCCAATAGAGAAAATATGAATTTGTTGAATTATGAATGAAATCATTTTCTGTTGAATTTGTTTCATAACACGAATGTTTAGGTGTTATAGTTATGAAAGTTTGAGAAAAATAATGAAACGATGCAAAAATATTAACTAAACTAAATAATGATAATAAACACCATTGAGCAGGTCCGAAATTTCCACTATATTTTAAAATTTCGTCTACCGTCATTTTTTTTTTATAGTTATTGAATAATTACTTCCGCTTGTAAAAAAAAAAAAAACTTACGATGCACTTTATGAAAAAAAAAACAGAAAAAATTAGTTTTTCCCCATCGCATTTGAATTAAAACTAAAAAATAAATTTTTAAACGACGGTTATTACATAAAAAAAATTTTTTTTTTTTTTTTAAACAAACAGATTTTTTTTTTTTTTTTTCGTTTCTGCATACCGTTCTATAATTTTTTAACTAACTGAAACGTCTGTGCTTTTTTTACCTTGAAAAAAAAAAAAAAAAAAAAAATTTAGTTCTTACCTTACAAGAACTTATTAAATATTCTCTTATTTTACCTTTGACGACAATTATTGTTTGTCTATTAAATCGATATCGAATTTAACCTCCCCCCCCCAAAAAAAAAATTACTATTAAAACATTGATTTTAGAAAAGGTAAAAAGTACTTTTAAGGAAAGTAATATCAAAGGCATAATTTTAAATAATGTGTAAATGACTTCCGACGACCCACCCTGCCCTGACATTGAATTTAATAAGTTTTTTTTTTTTGTTATTATCATTATTCAAATAGAGTAAAAACTAAAAAAAAAATCAAATGCGTTTGTTTGTTTGTTTGTTTGTTTTTGTTTTTATCGTTTGAAAATCACAAAATTGTTACGAGCACATTTTAAAATTACGTTAAACGATTTTTATTTATTTATTTTTTTTAAAAAAAAAAAAAAAAACGTTAAATTTATTTAAATAGGTCAAATCCTTCCTGTCGGCTAAAATAATTTCATAATTATCAAGTTCAATAATAATAATAATAATTAAATTAAATTTAAGTTTTAAAAAAAAAATCGATAAATTTCTCTTTGTTTGTTTTGAATTTCGAAAAAATTCATTAAATAAATAATTATTTATTATTATTTATTATTTAAATTACAATAAATAATTATTTGTTAATTATATCGAATTTTTATTTGTTTTAAAAATTTTTTATTTAAGGTCAAAACGATTGTTACGTAATCTCGCGTGACTGAATATACATAAAAAAAATTTTTTTTTTTTTTTTTCATTATTTTTCGGGGGGCTAATTTTATTTTTTTATTATTATTAATATTTTTAATTTTTCGTGTAACGGTATAAATATTATTATTAGTTAATTAATTTAATTGGTTTAAAAAAAAAAACGGGAGAATGCTGGGAATATTTGTACTCGTATGGGTACTTACTTGAGTACTTGAGTTTTCCACGATAAGACCGTTTGATTATTTTATGATTAGTCACGTGTAAAAAATTTTAAATCATATTTAATTTACATCGTTTTATTTGTTAATTAAATTGTTATTAATTAATATAAGTTTCCGTTATTTTAACGTACATTTAATTTATTAATAAAAAAAAAGTGGGGGGGGGAAATAGAAATGATAAATAATAAATAAATAAATTATTTTAATTAATTATATTTCACTAAACAATTTGTATGATACAATTTTAAAAATCATCGTTGAATTATAAATAAATGCTAAAGTTGAACATAATTAAATATACAATTTGAACGAGTAGTAGTACTAGTAGTAGTAGTATTAATAGTAGTAGTAATTTTTTTTTATTAAGACTAGAAAAAAAATTTATTAACTTTTCACGAGATTTTTTATTTTTTTGCAATTTCCGGTTGGTATAAAATTTCTCGTAGGATAAAATAATTGTTATCATACCTTTTGAATATTATTATTATTTATCAATGACATAAACTTATCAAAACTAAATTAATACATAAATTAATAAGACAATTATCACAGAAACACAAAAAAAAAAATAGTAATAATAATAATAATAATAATACGATAACAATAATTTTTTATTATTAAATTATTTACATAATAATAATTATACTATTATTATTATTATTATTATTATTATTAAATTGATTATTTATTTTTTAAAAACTGAAAATTTATTCGCGTGAAAAAAAAATTAATAAACAACCAAATTATTATTATTATTATTATTAAAAAATTAATAGATTGAAAAAAAAATTTTTTTGGATGTGATAAAATTATTTATTGACGTCATTCGTCTATTATTATTTTTTTTTTTATCAATCAAATTAATAATTTATGTATTTTATTCTTATCAGTTCATACCTTGTGATATTTTACATTTAAAAAATGATAATGATAATGATAAAATTGCTAATTTTTTATTGGCATATCTAAAAAACTATGTATATACATACATATATTTTGTATATGGCAAATTAAATTTATTAATAATGATAATAATAATAAAAGTTATTAATATTTCATTTCTAATTTATTAATTTATAAATAAACATTTATTAAGTTTCATGTTGCTTGTTTTTCAATAAAATTATTACGTCACGTTATTAATTATTAATAATAAATAAAACTCGTGTAATTTTACTTGATAAATTCTGACCGATAGTTTATTTATTGTTTTGGTTTTTGTTTTTTGAAAATGAAAAAACGTTAAAAATTAATGATAATAATAATAATAATAAAAGTTTTTGCCATTTATTTATTTACTTATTAATGGCACTCATATTGTTACGTCATCAAACACAATTATATTATATATATTTATAACGTCACAAATACATAAGTCTTAAACTAAAAATATTTATTCATTTCATAAATCGACCATTAAAAAAAAAACAAATAATAATAATAATAATAATAATAATAATAATAATTAAAAATTAAATTGGCAGTTATTAAAACGAATCGTATATTATACTTTATTTATTAATTTTTTTTTGAGTCTTTAAAGCCAACTTGCAATTTAAATGAAAATAAAATAATTATATTTAAAAAGCGTGTTACTTAAGCTAAAATTTATTATTATTATTATTATTTATTAAAAATTAAAAATACAATTAAAAATTATTGTTTTTACTTTAATAATTATGTATTGAAATAAATAATATGTATGTATATATATATAAATATTTTGACTAAATTTTTCACCCTGTTAAAGCTGGAAATGAAAATTTTTGTTATGTGGAAAAGAATTTTTATTTAATTTCCCCGATTGTAGTCGAATTGCCCAACCTGGAAAAAATAAAAAAATTTTGATAATAATGATAATAATCGGTTTTTTTAGCATAGGTTATCATCTTAATTAATTATTTAATAGTTTTATGTGAGCAGACGATGACATATAATAAATAATTATTAGTATTCTATGTCGCGATTATGAAAACATTACAAAAAAAAAAATAAACTGACCTCACTGGTTGAGCAATGTGTTGGTCACCTCAGAGATGGACAGCAAAGGACTCCGGTCCGATTTATCTGGGGGTACCCTCCGGGTTCTGATCTGGAACCAAAATGTCATAAACGTTTTTTAACTTTATTAAAAATAATATCTTGTGAAAATAATATTATTAATAATGAAACCTGTTTAAAAATGAAAATTTTTTTTATTTGATAGGGCCAATGTTTATCTTGTATAAATAAATAAAAATGCACCACCAGCACAAACATAAATGGTAAAATGTTAATTATGTGCATTTAATCAAAGTGAATTTGATATTATTTTTTTAAATTTAAAATTTGTTGACGTTTCGTTTTAATAAAATTTAAAATAAATAATATTGCGTAATATTAATTATTTAAATAAGTGAATAAATAAATTTTGTTAATTTGATTACTTACGTGAAAATTTACGTGTGCGATTTAAATATGTAAATACTTAATTAAATTTCTATTTGATTTTTAGCAAATAAAAATAATTGTGCCAAAGTGCGTTTAATGCTAAAAAAAAAAAAAAATTGAAAAAAAAATGAAAAATAAAAGTGTTGACTCACTGGGTTGCGTGATGGTGGTACGGTGTGTAAGGGTAATACTGGTGATACTGGTACTGATGGTGCTGGTGGTATACCTCTCCAGCAGCAGGATCTTGGTAACGCTTCGGACTGGCTATTCTTGTCGGACTGATCGGTTCTCCTTTTCCTAAACTGCTTTGCCACTTGCATGTACCATCTCCCGTCGAATTCATTTCAGCCAAAGATTTGAGTGGATCTACTCCGCTTTCAGGTCCGTACGAAGTTCCGTTTGTTAAAGATTTATTTGGAGTGGAGCGATTATTTGATCCTGTGCTACCCCACATGAGAACAGTTTGCCTTTCTTGTGCCGCGGTCGGTGAATAATGCATGTGACCGGTGACATCAGTCTTCATATCGTCTATTTTAGGAGTTATTATACCATTTGTGGTCGTCGTTGGGGAAGATCCTGCCGAATTCGACGCAGGAGATTGTTTTGCAGGGGTTGTTGCTGTCGTATAATGTTTTCCTAATGATATATCACTAGTCATGACGTATCCCGTCGAGTCTAAACATCTCGGACTCGATACCACGTAGCCTCGAGCATCGACGACTGTTGTGTATTTACTTTGGTCTAAACTTTGACAAGGATCTTTTGCCAAAACGGGAGTTTCATAAGCTGGCAGGAAGCCATTATAAGGTGTTGAATAATCTGGATAGTAGCTTCTTGTTGCATATTGGTGAAAAAGTTCTCCGGTAGAAAGAAAACGATTATCGACGGGATAAAGAGAATGTTGAAAATTACTAGAAACGGTGTGACCCATGTAACTTGTATCCGAATATCCTGTCGTATAAACGGGATTTAGATTTGAGTAAACAGTTTCAGGTGGTGGAACATATTCTACAGTGGTTGCAGGGCTAGTCGTTGTTACTGTTGGAGTAGTTTGCGATTGAATTTTACGTTTTGTTCGACAGGTAGATAAAAAGTCTCTAAGTTGCGTTTTATAACGTCGATTCACTCTTTGAGGTGTAGTTGTTGTTGTTGTTCCACTGTTCGGAGATGATCCGATTAACTGATCAGAATCTGAAAAATAACTGTTGGACAGACCGGCATCCAAATAACTAACTTTAAAATCCATCGTTCTTTTTCCTAATAAATCTCGTCCTTCTTCTTCCATTAACGGTCTGTGAGTGCTTATCACAAAGTCCGGTTTAGAATTTTTGTACACCAATCTAGAAGACGTTTGCAACCATTGCCATTGACCATTTTGAGTTTGAAATCTGTATGCTATCATGCCAGAAGCTCCGGTTTTTAAAACTAAAAAAAAAAAAAAAAAGACTTTTACAAAAAAAACAGCGAAAAAAAAAAAAATTTATTTTGGTAACTCACGTTCTTGATGAGCACTCGCTACGTAGGCAAGATCATCATAATGTACCAAATCGTAGCCCCCCATATTAGCTAATTCAGCATCGGAATACCCTAAAAGCATTTTTCCTCTTTGATCCATTGAAACAAGTGCTAAATCCAATTTATGTTTGCTTTTAAACATGACTTCTTTTTGCGGAACTTCTAAAAGAGATGGAGGTCCAAATGGTGTGCAAATTGCAAAAAGTGCTAAAGGAGGCTCTTCCGTTTTTCTATTTTGTCCGTGAAGAATTTTTATTCTACCCCTTATATCTAACCTCTAAAAATCAAAATAACCTCACGATTAATTAACAATATCACGTCGTTTAATTTTTTATTACTTAAAACCATGTAGGAATGATTACCAAAAAACCAGAAGTGTTATCCAAAAGACATCTAAATCGTACTGTAAAAGATCTTTCAAGTAAATGATAATGTTCTGGTGATAATGCTTCTCCCAATCCCATACTTCCGCTATCGGGTGGAAGAAAAGAATTCCATAAAAGTTGTCTCTGTAATTCTTCACGATCTTCCGAATGAACGAGTTCGTAAACAGATTGATGTACAATATCAGACTGGAGAAACAAAACAAAAAAAAAAAATTTCCAAAAATAAGATAAACAATTTTGATTAATTAAAGGTAAAAAAAAAAAAGAGGAAGATTAAGGGTCTCTTTTTAGATAGTCGGGGAGCGTGGCAGCACACAGGGTCGGAACGACGTTCAAGCGTCCGGTTTAGCGTCCAGCTGGTATTGCTGAGGCATGACGCCCTTGGTTTTCATATTACTCGGATATTTTACATTTGATGGGTTCCTTTTGTTTGGTTTTATTAGCCACGACCTCATGCATAGCACCACCATCAATGATTTGATTTGCCTCATTGATTTTTAAATTGCCCAAAACAAAATAAATAAATCTGAGTGGTTTTTTTTGCAACCATACAATTTTTAAATCATTTTATTTCTTATCATTTATTTTATTTCTTATCATTATGAACGATTATTTTCCTTATGTATTTTAATAATAACGAATTCTTTACTACGATCGCTAATGCATGAATGAACGCGTTAATGTTTTTTTTTTTGTTGCTTTTCTCACGTGAGTTTTTTTTTTTTTTGGTAAAAAATAAGTTTTTGTTTTTTTTTTTTGTTTAACGATGATTTGAAAAATTATTATTTTATGAGTTCGTGTGTATGTTTTTCAATCAGAAAAAAAAAAAAGTGTTGAGTGAACTAAAAACCTGTTGCCCATGTTGTTGCCCCATTCGTGAGTTAAGGCATTGTTCTAACACGCCAATTTTTTTTTTTCTCTCTCTCTCTCTCTCTAATATACTCCTAGAGGATGATCATCATTGTTTAAGAGTTGCCTTACACGATATTGAAACATTACACGACAATCATCAGCTGATCAAAATCATTTGTTTTCGTGATCACCAATTAATAAAAACGTTTCACGCGACAATGCGTTTTCAAAACATTGTAGAAAAAAAAAAAATTTTTTTTTTCAGTCTACACTACTAGTAATAATATTATTATTATTTTTTGTTAAAAAATGATGATCGTTTTGTACTGTTTTGATTTGAGTATACGGTAATCATTTCCGTTTCCGCTCTTAATGAATAAACAAACAAATGGAAAAAAAGGGAAAACATTTTCGGTATTTTGTAGTGACGATAAAATTAAAATAATTTTCAAATAGAGTCATAATAATTTTTTTTTTTTTTTTTTAAATTCAATTCATTTCCGTTTCCTATAAACATTGTTGTTACACGCGTAAAAAAAAAAAAAAAAAACATTTACTAATCGACCAACAACAATCTCTCATTAATTAATTATTTCTCCCGATTGTTTTAAACGTAATTACCGCAAAAGAATTTATTCGCGGAAATAAAAAATTAAATAAATAAATAATAATAATGATAATTTTTACAGGGGTAGGTGTAAAATGACGATGAATTACGTACCTGATGGAAGCCTAGGTAACTTTCGATGCTGTGTGTAGCAAAGAAAACTTCTCCTTCACATGACAAAATAAGGAGGAAACCATTTAAAGCCTAAAAAAAAGAAGAAAAAACGCCGCCCCCACGACAGCGTAAGTTTTATTATTATTATTATTAGTATTATTACGATTTTTTGACATTGTTTGTGTTTTGAGTATTGTAATCGGAAAAAAAAACTTAGGGGTAAAAAAAAATTTTTTTTTTTAAAACTTTTTAAATAGGGTGCATAATAATCAAAATGGAGATTTTAATAAAGTTTTGTGTACGGGGATATTTTTACAAATCGTTTTGAAAAGTTTTGCAAATTTTCTTAAGTTTTATTGGATAAAAATGTCGGAAAGGGAGGAGGATAAATTTTTTTTTTTCACACAGAAGAAAAAATAAAAAAATTATCGATTGACCTGGATTTATAAATTCTAAAATTGCACACACATAGAAAACAAAAAAAAAAAAGGAAAAGAGCAGACTCAATTATTTTATTTTTTCGTGGTTGTTTGTACCGAAAAAACAAACAATTTTTTTTTTTTGTTTTAACGACGACAACAACAACCCTTGAAGTGTTGTTGTCTGTCATATTATTTTCTTTAAAAAATTATGTAATTATCTAAATAATGGAGAAGCTAGAAAATCAAGTGGGATAATAGCTTTTCTCTCTCTCACATTTTGGTTAAGGACATCAAAGGTTTCTTTTTTTTGAATGACTCAATGGTGGTTAATGAATCTTACTATGATATTTTTAAGACTCTCCATCTCTCTCTCTCTCTCTCTCTTTTTTAACCTAATGGAGTTATAATAAGTCTATGGATTCTAACCTTGCGGGAAATTGATGAGATCGAGACAAAAAAACGACTTTTAAAAAAAATAATAATACTAAATAATATTACGTAACAAATTTTTTAATATTATTAATTGTTTAAAATTTTCGTATTTATTTAATTAATTATAAATTAATTAAAATAATTAGGTTAATAAATTTTTCTCAAAAGGAAACGCGATTTTAAAATGAACGCATAAAGTTTGCCTATGTTTTTTTTTGTTTAAAAAAAAAAAAACAAAATGGAAGAAAATTTAAGGGATAAAAAAAATTTATATTACGTATTTGCCCTCTGGGAGGGAGGGAGGGGAGGGGCGTCGGTAATTTTCGGTAGTTTGCCACAAATTTTTATTACGGTTATTATTAATTTACATTTGATGAAAACGTGGTCCGGTTCAGCCTCTTTCGTTTTTTTTTTTTTTTTTTTTTTCGGTAAAAAAAAAACTACGAAATGTAATTTTATTACGATTTATGACGGCATTATTATTATTATTATTATCATTTTTCTTTTTAACAAAAAAAAAAAGAAAAAAGTGAAATTGATATTTAATTATTATTAAGAGTGAGGTTGGTTGTTAGAAATTGGAACAAAATGGTACCGAATATTAAAATTTATATAATGAAAAAAGTAAAAAAAAAAAAATTTTGTTCCGGTTATAAAAAAAAAAAAAAAAAAAAAAAGGAAATTAAAGTTTCAAAGAGGAAAAAAAAAGAAAAAAGGGGAAAAAAAGAGGAAAAATTACAAGAAAAACATTCTTAAATTTTTTTCCACGACGAGTTCGGTGTACTAACGGTTAAGGGTTGTTGTATACTTTCGTTCGGGGGGAAAGAAGGAGGAGGGGGGCGGAGGTCGAGTAAAGAGAAAAAAGGGATCGAGACTAGAATGAAATCAATACGGTGTCGGTGAAAATAAAAGAAAATTAACATTGTCATTATTTTCATACGATAAAAAATGTTTTCTTACAATTTTTTTTTGTGTAAGAGCTGGAAATCTCCCTATAATACCGACCGTGCCAGGTGGAAAGGTATCCCGGTGCCCCTTTTTACTCGTCAATTTAACCTCTGATGTCTATCAGAAAAACTAGAACTTTTTTTTTTTTTTTTTCCTTTTTTTCCTTTTTTTTTTTAAGGGTAATAAAATATTTATAACTTTTAGCCTTTCCTTTTAAATCCAAGAAAAAAAAAATTTCGTATATTATTATCATTATCAGTATTCAATGAAGAATAAATATTGGGGGTGGGGGGGGCGACACGGGATTCTGTAGTTAAAAGAGATAAATGAATCTAATCGATGATACCGTGATTAAGGTTATTAACAAACGATTGCGTTTCACACGTGAACTTGATTTTTTACTATTATATGAATGAATGAAACACATTTTATTTCATATATATTTTTTAGTTTTGCCCTTGTTTTAAACAACAACAATCAAACAAACAAACAAACAACCGAGAATTTGTTAGCGTGTAGTTTAACCGTAAGGAATAATTCAACCGTACATGCATGTCTGCGAAAAAATTTTTTAACAAAAAAAAAAAAAAAACGAGTTAAATATCTTCTTATTACGCATAAATCACACGTGAATTATCTTAACAAACCTGAAGGAACATATCACCGTCCAAAATGTTATGATCTAATGTTGTTAATTCTCTATGCCTATACTGATGATCGTGATGAAGGTCATCTTTATCTTTCATGAGAACAACTGAAACGAAAAAAAAACATTTTTTTCTTTATTAATGTGGAAGCAAAATAATATACGGATTATGATAGTTCCTTTTACCTTTAGGGCAATTATAAAAGGTTCGTACATTCTCCCTCCTCCCCCCCCAAAAAAAAAGAAAATCGTGGATGGACGGACGGGGGCGGGGGGAAAATCGTTAAGGAAAAATATAATATCACATAAAATCATATACAAAACGAATCATTAATGTAAAAAAAAAAAAAAGAAAAAAGTAAAATTATTTAAATTATAGTAGAATGGTCAATCAAGAATTGGGGGGTAAGAATTATCAACCCCAAAGGCTTCTGTGCCTTTTACGAACACAATAACAGATTTTAAATTTTTAAGGGATGGACGGGAAAAAAAAAAAACATTTTATAAATTTTTAATATGCAATCGTATTATTATTTTGTGGTTTTTTTGATTATTACCGATATGTCCATCGTACCTTAAATTTTCAGGTAGCTTCTTATTCGTTTATTAATTTATTACAATGTTACCAACGTGTTAGAATAAGAAAAAAAAAATTTAATCGTCAATAAAATTAGTTGTTTTAAAATTTATTGTTTAAAAATTATCACAAATTTGCTAGCGTTAAAAGCAACCCGAATAAAAAAGTAAATTTAATAACTCAATTTGTTATTTTATTCGATTTAACGAATTAATTTTTATAATAATTACTTTTTTTTATAAAAAAAAAAATTACTCGTAGCAAAAAGAAAAAAAAAATGTGAGAAACGAGTGGGAAAATTTTTTAACTGTTTTTTTTTTTTTTAATTAAACGACGACGACGACGACGACGACGAAAAAAATATACCTCACACATACGATAATAAAAAAAATAAAATAGATGCAAAAGGATTTTGGTGGGGGGAAGGGAAGGAAGGGAGGGTGGGTTGGGGGGATATTATCAACGTAGAAAAACCCATTAAGAATTAAAATTATTAATAATAATAGTAAACTTTTTAAGTCTTTACAATGAACGTTCTCCATCTTTTTTTTGTTTTATACACCTAATTTCCATTTATAGAAACATCAAAACCGTATCATTATTTGAACTAAGTTTTTTTTTTTTTTTTTTTTGTTAAACATTTAAAATTATATATTTTGTTTAAAAAAAAGTAAACGGAAACCATAATCAAAATCGGATGAAATAGATAATCAATGATTTTCTCTTTTGAATTTTTAATAAATATATATAATTTATATTAATATTACTTATAACTTTATATATATATATATATATATATATTTATAAATTACCCATTTATATTCGGTCGATTTAGTTTTTACGTTTATTTTTTTCATTTATTATTAATCATTAATTGTTTATATACCGACATTTTATTTATTGAATGGTAGCAAATAAAAAAAAAAATTAAAAGGTGGGGAAGGGCGTCGTTTTGTCTCGAGGGGTAATAAAAAAAAAAAATGTCTAAAACGTTTTAATAAATAAGAATTTTAAAAAATCTTATCGATCGTATAATATACGTGATAAACGTTTGGAATTATTATTATTATTATTATTATTATTATTATTATTATTATTATTTAATTAAATTATCAAAATTATTATTAATGGTTGATTTATTTATTATCGATTTGTTATTAATTTTTGTTTTTTTTTAAATGTCTGACGTCATTATGACGTAATTTTCTTTTTAAAGGGAAAGTTTTGTATCTTTTTGGAATATGAGA